GGGGTCGGAGTAGATGGGGTCGGAGGATCTCGTCGCCCCATCAATGGCCCCCGAGGAAGTCAGGGCGTCGCTCGACGCCATGGGCGCGCCAATGCAGGAGTCCGACGGAGCCGAGAAGCTCCGCGAGAAGCTCCAGCGTGGTGCAGGACACGTGCGCGAAGACGGTTATCAAGAAGCCTCGCACCAACTGAGTCGTCTGCCAAGGCCTTGCTTGTTGTCGCCATTTTTTTTGCCCTTACGAACATGACGGAAATGCCGATGACCTGGGCGCGCCCTAGAGTTATGTCGGGCGTGTCCCCCTACAGGGGGATTTTCAACAAAAAATAAAAGATACCCAAACACACACCCCACAAAGGTCAAACACATACTAAAACATGATCCCCAGACTATGTTTGGACTATTTTGGGGGTATTTGGGGGGTATGTTTCATCTTTCGTCGAACATCCCCTTGTAAGGAGACAGGCCCGACTTAACCCTAGAGTAAGGGGCAGTGAGCATCATGGCATGTGCAGCACGGGAAAGCCGAAGGAGCTGGAGAGGCAGTCCCTGAGCTGCGGCCTGGCCCCCGAGCCCGAAGGCGGTGCCCGTCCCGACCGCTCCCGCGGCCCCATCAGGCCGCCCTTTTTGTTTTCATCCCGAGGCGTGCTCGTTGGCGGACGCACTCTTGGCGGCCGTGCCCCTGCCCCCCCCTTCTCCTTCTCTCCTCCCTCCCTCTCCTCCTCCTCCTCCTCCTCCTCCTCCTCCTCCTCCTCCTCCTCTGCTTCCCTTCCTTCTCCTCCTCCTCCGCCTCCATCTCCTCACCCTTCCCCTTGGCTCCTCCCCCTCCTCCTCTTTCCCCTCCACCCCCCTCCCTTTCCTCCTCCTCCTCCTCCTCCTCCTCCTCCTCCTCCTCCTCTCCCCCTCCTCCCCCGACATCTCCTCCTCGAGCAAGCCTGCAGGGGGGGCCCTCCCATTGCAGAGGCGCCTTCGCATGTCCAGTTGCTCCCGAACGCACGGGTGAGCGAGTTGGGGCCCGTGAGGTCCTGGCACGGTCGCGTGAAGGGCCACGAAAGGGTTGTCCCCAGACCTCTGCCGACTCGAACAAGACCAACAAAAACGTGCAGGGCTTGCTTCTGTACTGTCTTGGACTTCGCGGGCCTTTTTCGCTGGGTCGGACGGAAGGGAAGGGACCCAGGGACAACCAAATAAACAGACACAATTCCCAAGACTCCAATATTTGTCATTATGTTCTGGGTGTCCGCCTTCCCCCCCCGCTTCCCGTATTTTCCTATATTCCCCTGGGAACCGACGATGACTTGTGTCTGTGTGTCTTCCCCTCCTGACTGGGCGCCCCAGTTATCCGGGGTATCTCGGGTCCGGGGTAACTCGGGTTTGGGTTCCCGAAAAAAAACCCGAGTTAGCCCTGACCCGAGTTATCCCTGATGATTCGGGGCTCTGGACGCCCGAGTTATCCGGGGTAACTCGGGTCCGGGGTAACTCGGGTTTGGATTCCCGAAAAAGGAACCCGAGTTATCCCTGACCCGAGTTACCCCTGATGATTCGGGGCTCTGACCTGAGGAGGGCGGGCGGGCAGCACCGGGAAAATCAGAGGATCGGATCACGCGCCGCAGCTGGCGCCCCCTGGCGCCTCCCCCCCCGCGCGCGGGAGGCGCCGGCGCGTCGAGGAAAGGCGCCGGCCGCGGCGGGGCCGACGCCAGCAGGCCCGCGCACCCCCTCTCCTCCCTCCACCCCCTCCTCCTCCTCCTCATCTTCCTCCTCCCCCTCCTCCTCTCTCCTCCTCCTCCTCCTCCTCCTCCTCCTCCTCCTCCTCCCCCCTCCTCCTCCTCCTCCTCCTCCTCCTCCTCCTCCTCCCCTCCTCCTCCTCCCTCCTCCTCCTCCTCCCCCTCCTCCTCCTCCTCCTCCCCCTCCTCCTCCTCCTCCTCCTCCTCCTCCCCCTTCACCCCCCACCTCCTCCGTCCGACCCGGAAGCCGAGACGCCGGCCCGGGCGGGCCCCGTAGCCCTCCGGCGCTTTCTTTCGGGCAGAAGCGCCCGAGTGGACACCGGCCCCAGGGCGAGGGGGGCCAGAGCAAGGAGGCGCAGTGTTAGGGGGGGGGGGGACTGGCTCGGGGGGGGGGGGGGGGCAACGTCGAGCTGGGATCGGCGATACAGTCGGGGCACTTACCTCAGGAACCCTGAATGAGGAACGAGGCCCCTTTCCCAAGAAGTGAACTTCGACCTCCCATGGAAAGCCTCAGGAAAACCTTAGGCAAACTGTAAAACAAATCAAGGAACACCGAGCCCCTCCCCAACGAACATGGTTCCTTCTTCAGCGCCCCGACAGTAGGCCCCTGATCACCACGTTGCTGGGCTTGGTGCGCTATCGGGCCCCCGGTCCGCAATCAATGGGCTGGGCGATTGCGGGTCCATGCGTCCACCCGTTGCGCCTACTTTTTTACCGTCAGTTTACGCTGACCTTGTTATGTTTGATTGGGAAGGCGGTCGCCCCGATGGGCGAGCAGTGCGAGGTCCCAGGTGGCTCGGGCTCACCCTTTGACCCTGCGGCTTCGAGTTAACAAGTGCTGGGGCCGCCGAACGAACGATCTGTTCGAGACATCCCCCCGCTCTGGGCGCGGTCTCACCCACTGGCTAGATCGCGGTGAGCATGACGCTGCTAACAGAGAAGAACCCTGGGGGGCAAAACTAAACAAAGCGCCTAAAACATTCCCACAATCTGGGCGCGAACGGGCAAATGTCCCAACCCCCTGGTGTGTTCCCCCGTGGTGTGCTCAAATGTCAGGCCTGCTATATCGCGATGCGGATGTGCCCCCCCTCCCTGGTGGCCTCCGCTTTGGGGTGCTCTGGTGCCACGCCTGCTACATCGCGACAGGCGTTGGACCACCAAAAGAAACCAGTCTGGTTCACCAAGCAGGCAAACCTTCTGAGACATCCCTACATTTTGGGCGAGGACGGGCAAGTGTCTCCCTTCTTGGCGGCTCCCCCTTGCGGTGCCCAAGTGCCACGCCTACTATGTCGCCGCAAGAGTTGGACCCTCAAAAGGGAAAAGACAGGGCCACCAAACAAACCGCCTAAGACGTCCACACAATATGTGCGCCCCATCCCTGGCGGCTCGCCATTGATGTACTCACACGCCACGCCTGCTACATCGCGATGAACATTGGACACGCAAACGAAACAAGTCTGGGCCACCAACGGGCAAACAGCCTGAGACATCCCCACAATCTGGGCACGAACATTCACGTACCTGCTACAGCGCGATGTGCATGTAGCTCTGGAAAGCGAATCTGGGTGTCACTGAGTCTGGGTGCGTGTGTGTTGGTGGTCTGTGTGTGAGTGGGGTCTGTGCGGGAGTGAGTCTCCATGTGAGCGAGTCTGAGTGTGAGCTTGTCTGAGTGTGGATATGCCTGCGTGTGAGTGACTCTGAGCATGAGATATGCGCGGATGAGAGCGAGTCTAAGTATCCGTAAATCTGAATGTGAGCGGATCTGAAAGTAAGTAAGTCTAAACATGCGTGAGTCTAGGCATGGCTAAGCTGACAATGAGTGCATATGCGTGTGCGTGGTCTGTGTGTGTGAGTGAATCTGACTGGTAGCGAGGCTGAGTGCGCGTGAGTCTGAGTATGACTAAGCTGTGTAAGAGTGGACCTGCGTGTGAGCAAGTCTGAGTATGAGTGAATCTGATTATGAGTGAGTCTGAGTACGTATGCGTGAGTAGCGACGAGGACGGAGGAACAAGAGCGATGAGAGGAGGAGAAGGAGGAAGGGAGGAGGCGGATGCGTCACACAAATAACACTGGCCCCCACCTTAGAACATGGGAAATAAACAACGGACGCATGTTGTCTGGTGAGCATCGTATCGAAGAGGAGGAGAAAGGTCTGTGGGAGAGCAGGGAAGCGGCATAGGAAATGAGGACCATAACATTAAGTATGAAGTCGAGACGAGCTGAAAGGCAGCGGACGCTGAACAGCCCTACGATGGTGCTGGCCACAACACTCTTTTAATGTAGCAGGTTCTCGTAAGAGGGGTCATGCTTTTTGTCAGCCCTCGTCTCCCAGAAACCTGTAGGCTCCAAAGAAGGTGTCAATGTGTCAACCAACCCGACCGAAACATGTTTGAACCCATCCGCAGGGCTGCTGTCCAGGAGAGTCGATATGAACTCTTCTCCGCGCAACGTTGGCCAAGAGTGGGCTCAAGACAAACTCCTGTGAGTGAAAAGCGCCCTACTTTCCCGAAGCTGGCGGGCGGCACCCAGGGTGGACCACGCAGTGCAACACATACGGATCCCCCGAGTCGTGTTCGCCAGACGGAGTGCCTCCGGCCCAGGACGGCCCGAACGGAGCCCCACGCAGGCCTCCAGAAGGATCCAAAATGGCCCAACGACGACCCCAAGAGACACCCCAGACGGCCAAGAGAACCCCGAGACGGCTGATAGGGCCCCAGGAGGGCCCCAACACAGCTCAGGGCCTAGGAGGACCCCAGGGGACCCCCAAGCCTTGCCCACGGGAGCCCAACACAGTCCGAACACGGTCCAGATAGACCACGTGCGAGCTCCTCAAGAAGTAAAGACGAGAGATGCCTCACGCGAGGGCCTTCTGGGCGGTCCTCGAAGCGCCGCCACGCAGAGTGCTTCGCAAGCACGGTGACGGCTTCGCCGCTGGCAACTCGATACCCCAGCAGGTTATGACGATTGAGCGCCCCCGAGACTACGACGACCGCTTCCGCTCCATCGTAGCGAGACGGCATCCAGTAGGTCCTCGAGCCTCGACGAGGGCGTGTACTACATGTCAGCAACAACTGCAGGGCGCGCAGGGCGGTGGGCGGTGGGAATCCAATGAGCCCGCTGACCGTCGTGTTGTCTCTGATCTCGGGCTGCCTCCTCGACCCCGTGATGCTGCTCATCCGCCGCTTCTTGTCGACCTCAAAGATTTCTCACTGTGGTCGCACTGAACAGGGCGGCTGAAGGAGCGCATGGGCGCTCGCACTCGGACGGCGACAACAATCGTAATTTATATCGTCGTGGCCTCCCACATGCTCAGATCATCACCACCCGTCTAACTGCTTGGTGTGCCTGGCCGGGCCCAGCTGCAGCGCTGGCGTCCGCCGCAGTGTCCTGTGGCGCTGGGAGGCCTCGCGGCGTGAGCTCCTTGGCAGCGCACCTCCGGCCTCCTGGCCACCTTGCTGCCAATGGCCGCGTCTCGTCTTCTGGCGGTACGCTTGCGGCCAGCCGCGCCCAGCGCAGCGCCGATGGCGAGCGCGGCCGCGCTGCCCTTAGCCGCGCTATGCTCGGGTCCGCGTTCTCCTCGTCCTCTTCCTCCTCCTCCTCCTCCTCCTCCTCCTCCTCCTCCTCCTCCTCGAGGGCCGCCAGGGCGTCCGGGGCCCGTGCTGGCGGCCTGCTGCGGTTCCCCTGGCTGCTCCACTGGGTGGCCGCCATCAGCCTGCTCAGCATGGCCCTCACCATGGGCTGCTGCAGGCGGGTCGCTCTGGCTGCCAACTTGCCCCAACTGCTCGTGGAGTGTGTCCGGCAGCAGCTGCTCAAGCTCATGGACATCGCCTCCTAGCGCGCTGACTTGACTTTCGAAGTGGTCGATAGTATCGGTGACTCCCGGCCTGACTCTCCTCCTGCCAGCGCTGCTGTTGGAGCTCCACTTGTCTCCAGTGGGGCTCTCCGTCGACGATCGTGATGGCCAGGGCGAGGATGGGCTGGCTGGCTGCTGCTCTTCACACTCTTCGGCTCCTACTGGTCCGTGAACTCCTTCTTCTGCTCCATCTGCAGCGGCCTCGCCTCGCAGGTCGTCCGCTTCGCTGGAGTTGTCTTGGTAGAAGCTGTCGCCCTCCACGTCTGGATGGGCCCCATCATCTTGCCAGAAAGAGGGCCCATTATCGTCGGCTTCGCTGTGCGGATCGCCTTCGGCCCCTTCGGCGCTGTCATGTGGTCTGTCGCCAGTGGCGGATTCTGGCCGGTTCCTCCTCGCCGATCTCGACCTGCGCAGTGTTAGCTGTGCTGCTCGCAGCCGTGGGGGCATCGGGGCCTCCAGCAGGTCCCCGCCCGCTCCTGCATTCGCGGGGAAGTTGCTGGCGGCGTGTTCGTGAGCTTGGAGCGCTGCCATTTCACGGCCATGCTCTTCAACCTCGAGTGCTTGTATGCCCGCGATAATCCACGCCGAATCCACAAGACGCAAGCTGCAGCGCGCCGAAAGGGAGCGCGGCCCCGCGCGCCAGCGGAAACCTCCCCACGGCGACACTTGCGGCAACAACATCACGATGGCATCCGTGCGACCGTGAGGTCCAACGCATAGCGAAAATAGGCGGCCAGCGCGCCCTGGCTGGCGACAGAGGACCACGCGCGTCGACCGCTCCACCGCCGTAGCCATGGACCCAACACCCAACCAATCCACGAGGGCGCGCGTCCTCTCGTAGCATCTGCGCCGTGACCTACACATGCTTCCCCCCCCGCCCCTGTCATCCTTTTCCGCCTCGTCCTCCTCCCACCCGACCCCCCTCTTGTCATTCCTTCTCCCCTTCCCTCCTCCTCTCCTTCCCATTCCCCTGACCACGCCGCGCCCGCCCCAGCCTCGCGCGCCCCCCCTCTCCTCTCCGCCCATCGCGACTCCTTCCTTCCTCCTCGTTGTCGCAACTCCGGATCACCCCCCCCCCTCCTTTCCTTCGCCGCCTCCTCCTCCTCCTCCTCCTCCTCCTCCTCCTCCTCCTCCTCCTCCTCCTCCTCCTCTTCCTCCTCCTCCTCCTCCTCCTCCTCCGCTCCTCCTCCTCGTCTCCTCCTCCCTCCTCGTCCTCCTCGTCCTCCGTCTCCTCCTCCTCCTCCTCCTCCTCCTCCTCCTCCTCCTCCTCCTCCGTCTCCTCCTCCTCCTCGTCCTCCTCGTCCTCCTCGTCCTCCTCGTCCTCCTCGTCCTCCTCGTCCGCCTCGTCCTCCTCGTCCTCCGTCTCCGTCTCCGTCTCCGTCTCCGTCTCCGTCTCCGTCTCCGTCTCCGTCTCCGTCTCCGTCTCCGTCTCCTCCTCCTCCTCCTCCTCCTCCTCCTCTTCCTGCCGCCCCCACCGCCTCCGGCCGCTCCATGCCGTTTGAGCCTCGGCCCCATCGCGCCCCCGGCTCCGCTGGAGGACTCTGGAGCCCCCCCCAGCGCTCTGGGAAGCCTGGGCTTCCGCCGGGCAGCGAAGCCCCGAGGTCGCCCGGCGGGCTTCCGGGAATAGCTTTCGTTCGGTTTGCGGAACCAGTGTGTTTTCGATGTTGCCCCGTGGGCCGCATGACTTTCCGCGGGGAGGCAAGAATAGTGGTTTTAGGTTTGCTCACGCCTTACTAGCGTCCAGGTCTCGAACGCTTTTGACTTGCTCTCTTTAGCTTTCCTCGTTCTTCCTAATCCCCTGCGGGCGGGCGGAAATCAATAGCTCTCTGGGGAGTCGCCCCCCCCCGCGGGGCCCCGACTGCCTGGCCGCTGGACGGGCGAGTCTCCCGGCCGCTGGGCCTCCGGCTTCGCGAAGGGCCCCGGGCCAGACTGGCGCGCAGTGGGCTGGCTGGCCGGGCCGCAGGGCCCGGCCGGGCCGGGACCCCAGGCTGGGCCGGAGAGCTGGGCCGCACTGGGATGACCGTGGGGGTTTCTAAGTGGATAGGGGGGTTAGAAGTGGATGCCAAGGTGGGTTATATCTGGCCCAACCTGGCCTATAAGAGGGTTACAAGTGCCCTAAGTAGCTTAGGGGGGTTAACGATCTGGGCTAGGTGGGCTCCGCCCACTTAGCCGAGTTATCGACCCCTCCTGAGCTACTTAGGGCACTTGTAACCCTCGTATAGGCCAGGTTGGGCCAGATATAACCCACCTTGGCATCCACTTGTAACCCCCCTATCCACTTAGAACCCCCCACGGTCATCCCAGCAGGGCCATGGCCGCAAGCCATCGGCCCACCGGGCTCCCAGCCACCGGGCTGCTTCCAGCACGTCGCTCAGACCGGCAGGCTGCCGCCGCCCCATGTCCGCCGACGGGCCGTCCATATCGGTGCAGCCACATGCGCCGGCCGCTGGCACGGCTGCCGGCGCTGGCGCGTTGGCTGAGGGTTGGCGAGGGCCCCGCGTAGATTCTCACGGTTGTCACCGCGCGGGCCTCGCCATCAGGGTCCCAACCTGCGCGCGGGCCTCCCACTGGATCCGAACAGCACGGCTTCGCTGCTGAAAGTCGACCCATAGGGTCTCACCCATCCCGTCTCTCCCCGCCCCATTCCACGAGAGCGCGCGACCTACTGGGCCCCACAGAATTCTATAACCACATCCGAATCGCGCCCGCAAAATCTCCAGGCGCCACAAGACACCCCTCCCAAAAAAGAAGGCCGTGCTCCCCAGACCCAGATCGTTCCTGAATGCCAGGCAGCACATGGAAAGTGGGAGAGGAGGAGTTCTGATGATTGGGAAAATGGAAACAAAACATAAATAGCAGTGGCGGAACGTATTCCGCGCTTGCCGAAGTCGCCCACGACAAAGTAAACAACGAGAACGCAACTAATGGCAACGAATGGCCCACGCTTTGCCCACGATGTTTGTGATTGCGTCCACGCCGGATGGATCATCCCCCCTTGACAACGATTCCGATCCTTCAATCACACTTTTTTCTAGCAAGAACATTACAAAACAACAGAGTGAATCATCGCAGTGAAGACGTACACTTCCATATCGGCGGTTGATGTATGCTCGCTGCGTTTCCACATTCTTACATGTTCAGATTCATATAGTTGGCCTACTACTATACGTACATCTACTTACCAAGTTCCCAAGAATCACGAACACTAGTTCATACGGCTGGTGCTGTCTAAAGCTCCGTAATGACAGCCCGAGAGGTCCTCGCCCCAGGCCAGCGAGTGCCAGTCCGCGTAGTAGGGCGAGTCGAGATCGCTGATGGAGCACGTGGAGCCTGGGCTGCGTCCGACGCCCCTTATCATCCTTCAGCGGCTCCCTGCCTTGCTGCCTCCCTGCCGCCCTCCTCTCCTCATATTCCGTCCAGCATCAGCCATCCTCCCTCCTCAGTCCTCTGTCCTCCCTCTTCCCTCCTCCTCACTCGATAACTCCTTCCTACATTCATTTTTTCTCCTACTGTCCATCATCCTTCCTGCATCCCTGCTCCATACCCCCTGCCTCCCTCCTGAGCTCTAGTCTGCGAACTTGTTGGGGCGCTCCGGTCATCCAGTCTATCGCACCAGCAATCCCCCTGGCCTGGGCAACGCGGACCAGGAGCTTAAACATCGCCAGCGGCTTCCTTTCTCCTCATCAATGTCCTGATGGTTCCTCACCCAATTATTCTCGTCCCCCTCCTCCCTGCTCCGTCCTTCGCCATTCCTCCCTCCTCCCTCCTTCCCCCACTCTCTCACTCTTCCTCCAATGATCAGCTTTCCCTTTCTCCTTCCGTCTTCCTTCCTCCCTTCTCCCTGCTCCATCCTTCCTCCTCTCACCCGCCTCCCACATCTTCCCCCCTACGCCCTCCATTCTCCGTCATCCGCCCCCCCTCCTCCGTCGTCCCTCCGTCCAGTCTTCTACCTCCTCCCCCCCATTCCTCCCGCCTCGAGTGGGCCTGTCTTTGCGTTTGTTTCCTCGGACGGGGGCTCGAAGCTGGTTAGAGGCACCATTGTGCTCATGGGGTCGGGTTCTGCGCGGCCTTCTTGGATCATCCTCCTCCCCTCCTTCCTCCCCGGTTCCTCGCCTCCTCCTCCTCCTCCTCCTCCACAATGACACAGCATGAATACTACTCTCTTCTTTCCTCCGAAGATGTGCTGAGCGTGTCCCCCTCCACGTCTTGATTGTTACACACGTACTGTGGGCGCGTTGGTCCCTCTGACGTCTTTGTTTACACTCCGAGTGTTGTCGGCGTTCCAGAATGATGCTCTCGCTGAAATGTGGGGCTAACTTTCGGATGGACGCTTTCCTCCCGTCGTTCAGAATGGCGCGCTCGCCTCCGCGTGGGCCACTTTTCTGGATCCGAGTCCTTTTTCATCGTGGTCGCCCCCAGAATTTCCACTTCTCCGCCTTCCCCTCCTCCTGTTCCTCCTGCTCCTTCCTTAAGTTCCTACTGCTGCTGGTCGTCCTCGTCGTCCGCCTTCCACATCCTCCTCCTTTTCCTCCTGATCATCCTCAGGCTCACCCGCCACCTTCTCCTCTTTGTCCTCCTCCTCATCATCATCCTATGCACGCAGCTCCCTTTTTTCCGATGGTGCATAACACGATGAGGTACTTTCGCTTGAGTTTCAGGTTGGCTATGACACGCGTCCGCGAATTAGAAAGTTCCGAGCAATGGGAAGAGATCGGAGGGAGGGATCGGATGTCAGATGAGGCTCGAGCGCACCTAGCTTGCCCCAATTCTCTTCTCCCTCCTCTCCTTCCTCTTCCTCCTACTCCTCCTGCTCCCCCTCCTCCTCATCCTCACACTGCAGCGTGGCCAAAGACTCCTCATCCTCGTACTCCTCAACCTCCTCTCGCTTCCTCTCCCTCCACCCCTCCTCCCTCCGGTGTGCCTCCAGCACCGTTGCAGCTGTGGCCGCCCCGCACCAAGTCGCGGCGTGCGCGGGGACGACGCCCCCGAAGAAAGAAAGAGAGAGAGAGCAAGAGAGGAGGAGGAGGAGGAGGAGGAGGAGGAGGAGGAGGAGGAGGAGGAGGACGAGGAGGAGGAGGAGGACGAGGAGGAGGAGGAGACAGGGGCGCCGACGAAGAGGGCCCACCCCACGGTACAACTGCGGTCGGGAACTCTTGGACAGCGTGTCGCCGCGGCGGCCCCAGCGACACCCGACGCCCTGCGAGCGGATGGCGTGGCGCTCCGCTCCGCGGGGCGGGAGGCGCGGGAAAGCTCGGGGCGTTGACGCTTGGGAGTGGGGACTCGGATAGCGTGTCGGGTCGAAGCGTGATGGGTCAGAACCGGCGGCGCGACACGCTGACCACCAGTTCCCGCAATCGGGAGAGCTCGTTTGTTAGGCTCTCTGGTTGGGCGTTCGGCGACCACGTCGCCTCTTCAGACTGGCATGGGTTAAACCTTCTGCCAACACGCGCACGCAGCAGCAAGCAGGGGAGTGGAAAGGAGAGACTGTCTAACTGCGCCGCTCCACTTTGAGGACACGAGAGAAGCGGACCCGACATCGCGAGCTTCCCCCTCAGGTGATCTCGGGATGGCCCTGAGAGGGCACCAGAAAGGATCCAGGAAGTCCCCAAGAAGGGCCCGAGACGCCACCAAACTAAGAGGACACGAATCACAGCCTTCGGACGGCGCTGCGCCTGCCACTGCAGGGTCAGCGTCGGCCATCTTGGGGGCCGCACCCGACAGTACCCTAGTTGATGATCTCACGCCCACGGTGCATGATACATGGCGTGCTCTGCCCGCTCGGTCTTCAAGCTCTCGACGCTCTCAGGCTGGCTCGTCAGACTGGCCAGAGCAGAAGCGTGCGGTCCTCCCTGGTGCCAGCGCGCGCGCGGGGGGGCAGCGAAGAGGAGGAGGAGGAGGAGGAGGAGGAGGAGGAGGAGGAGGAGGAGGAGGAGGAGGAGGGGGAGGAGAAGGAGGGGGAGGAGGAGAAGGAGAAGGAGGAAGAGGAGGAGGAGGGCGAGGATAATGGAAGGGACTGACCGGCCGACCAAGGCGGGCCGCCGCCAGCGGCAGCCGGCAAAGCCAGGAACCCTGCCCCATCGGCCCTCGGACGTCGGGGGCGGGGGCCTTTTCGGACCGTAGGATCCGACGCCACGAAAGCATCCAACATCGTTCAAGCTAGCGATCGGAGCCCCAAACCCCACCGTCCTGCTGCATTTTTTCGAACCGGATCGATCTGCGAGGGTCCAAGGACCCGAAACAGGGCGAACTCGCCGGGCGCGAAACAATTGCAACGCAAGGAGCTCAGGGGAACGTCGTCGTACGGCCCTTGGGCATCTTCGACCTCCAAGTCGGGCCTCCGAAGGGCCATCCAGAGGCCACCTCCTCTGAGGGCTGGGGGTCAGGATGCGGGAAGGGCAGGCAGGGCGCGCAGGCGTGCCGCCGCTGGCTCGGAGAGCCGGCCCCAGGAGCTTCGCTCCGAGCTGGCGCTCGTCGGAGAGCCGCGGGGGACGGACGGACGCAGGAGACGCCCCGTCGGACGGCCCTCCAGGAGCTCGGCAGGGGCACGGGGGCGCCAAAGCGCTCAGTGCTCGTTTTCCTCCTGCTCTGCACGCATGGCCGGGGGCGTCGCCGACAGACGCAGAGAGCAGGCGCGCGGCGCGAGAGCCCAAGGGGGAGAGGGGGGAGGCGAACGGCGGAGGGCGAAGGAGGACGCGACGTCGCGGGGGCAGGCCACCGTGCAGCGCAGGCCCGCCGCTCTCCCGCGCCTTTCGTCCGTGCACGCATCCCTCCTCCCGCCGCCCTCCTCCTCCTCGCCGCCGCCCGTTCCTGTCGCTCGCTCCTCCTCCCTTCCCCCTGCCTCCTCAGCTCGCGGAAGTACTTTTCACCTGCCTCTGCCTCTTCCCTCATGAAACATCCCCCTCTCGCCTCCCTCTTCCCCCCTCCCTCGAACAGACCTCCTATCTTCGTCTTTTCCTCCTCCTCCTCCTCCTCCTCCTCCTCCTCCTCCTCCTCCTCCTCCTCCTCCTACGGCGTGTTCGCTCCGACGCCCCGACGCCGCCAGAATCGAGGTCTGCCCGTGCGAAGGCAAGGCTCTCGCGTATGCGCCCCAGGTGTACATCGATGACGGCTCGGCTCATCCGATGTCATTTGGCTCTTCCAGGCGCGAGTGGAGGTGCGCTAGTTGTAACACGGCGACCAAGATTCGCTCCAGCTTGCACTTACTCCACGTTCGGAAGAAAGCCAGAATGTGCAATCCCACGGACACCCGACGATGGGCTGTTCAGCATCTGCTCCATCGGTATCACGGCTTCGTCTTACAGGTCTCGGACGGGGCGCAGGCGGCCATGGAAGCCGCCTCCTGGTGACTCGATCCCCAACCCCCCACTGCCCAAGACCTGTGCGCTCGGGAACCGCGGGGGTCCCCGTGGGACGGAGTAGCCGTGAGGCCCCCCTCGCCGGGCCTTCCCCTCTTCTCCATCGCGTTCGATTCCAGGGCCAAAAAGCGGCTCCTCCTCCGCGGTCCTATGATAAGCGCGGGGCCAGGCTCAGTCGGGGCTTCTGGGTCTGCGGGCTCGTGCGACCCGCTTCCTGTGGGGGGTGCCTGGCCTGGTCCCTGGGGTTTGCCGTGGGGGCTGGCGCGCAGAACTCTGGGGAGCGTGGTCCTGCTTCCGTCTTGGGGCCGCCGCCTCCTCCAGTGCCGACCCCAGCCCCTGCGGCCCAGCCCAATGGGCCTGCTTCACTGAGCTCGGCCACGCGATGGCTGAGAGGACGATCTCGTCTTTGCGCGGTGCGAGCATTGTGCGTGTGTGGTCGGGCAGCGGGCGGGCTATTGGGCTCAAACGGCCTTGTGTAGGCCCCGCCGAGAACGCCCAGACGCCGCATGCCCGAAACTGCAAGCTCAGGCGGCTCCGACGAGGCCTGACCCCCAGGTAGCCTCGCCCTCAGGTTTCATTCGATGCGTGTGCGTTCGGGCAACTTGGACGCGTTCATCTGGATGTCAATCTCAACCTTTGAATTTCCTCCTCTCTCCTCGTTCACTCTCATCCCCTCCCCTCCCCGCCTCCTTGCAACCTCCTGCATCCTTCCCCAACCTTCCGCACCCTGCCCCCCCCTCGTCTTCCATCCTCCCCCCCAGCTCCCGCTCCTCCTGTCCCCTTATTCTTTCTTCCTTTGCGTGTCCTCCATCCCCTGGCCTCCGCACTCCTCATCCTCTCCTCCACCCTCTTCTCTTCCTCCCCGCCATCCCTCTCTCCCCCTCCCCCTCCTCCTCCTCCTCCTCCTCCTCCTCCTCCTCCTCCTCCTCCTCCTCCTCCTCCTCCTCCTCCTCCTTCGCTAACATCTCCTTCCCCCGCCTGCCCGCTCGTTCTTCCGCCCTCTCCCTGCATCCCCCTCCTCTTCTCCTCCTTCCTCTCTCCGCCCTCCGTCCTCCGTCCGCATCCTCCACCCCTCCTCATCCGCCGCCCCTGTCCTCCGTCCTCCGTCCTGTGGAACCTAGGAGGTACTGGTAACGCTACTCCCCAGACGTCTCCCGGGGTGCGGCCCTGACCAGAATTTGAAGGCGACTCCGGCGGTGGCGACGAGGGCCTCCCAGGAGGCCCCAAGAAAGGGGGGAAACGAAAGGAAGGGTGGCGGCATGGGTACCTTTACCTCCCCTGACTTCCTCTCTCCGTCCCCGCGTTCCGTCCTCCGCCCCTGCATCCCCGTCTTATTCTCTCCCCATTCACCCTTCCTCCACCGCCTTCCGTCCTCTGCCCTCCTTCCCCCGTCGCGTGCCCCTCGCGCTCCCTCCGCCCCCCGTCCCAGTCCCTGGCAAGAACTCCTCCTGGTCGCAGCACCAGCCGCGTCGCCGGGTGCTGCTAGAAGTGCCCCTGGCCCAAGGTGGCCCAGGATTTCCAGCGGGGCCCCGACGGCCTCCAGAGCACCCCTCACGAGGCCCAGAGGGCCCCAGGGGCTCCAAAATTGGGCCCAAAGCTGGGGGCACCTTGGGCCAGGGGCGCCTTGAGCAAGCCCCGATGTCGGCAGGGCGGCCCCGGCGTTTCGCCTGAGACCGAATCAGAACGTATGATCCTCAAGCTCGAACATCCCCGCAGCAACACGGACGGAGGACGCGCCCCTTTCAGAACCGGGCCCTCGCCTTGGTGCCGCGCGCGCCCCACGCGGACGGATGGCGAACCGTTTTCAACACGTGGCCGCGTTGCGCAGCGCGTACTCGTCGTAAACACCTTATATACTCCACTCCACCCATGGATGGTGGCTCCTTTCATACCAGGGCTCTCGCTCGATGTTCGCCCTCGCTCGAGGTTCTCTCGCTTCTCGGAGCCCGAGCATGTGCAACCAGTCACACGGATGGAAGGCATCCAGCCCTCCAGCTCCGGGGCATCACTCCAGGCGCTCTCGAGCACCACTGCCCACTGCTTAGAGCACGAGAGCTGCACGGACGGAGAGAGAGAGCCATCCACGCCCGGCGTCTCGACGCTCCGGCTAAGCGTGCAGGACGAGGCGGCTCCCTCATCATAACGGGGGGGCGGGGGGGCCGCTTCAGTGGCACGCGCTCGGTGTGCATGTGCTTCAAGGGGCGCACCACCCCGCGATTGAATCTCACGTTGGCGCATCTTGGGCGTACGCTGGTCCTCCTTCTTCTCCTCTGGCTCCCCCTGCTCCTGCCAAGCACCTGCTCGTGGAACCCCGGCGTGCCCCAAGGGCCCAAGACCCTCCGGTCGCTTCGCCCCCCCACCCGCCTCCCCTCTCCTCCCTCTGACCCCTCCCCCCTCCCCCCTCCTCCCTCACCCTCCTCCCTCCTCTCCCTCGATCCCTCCCTCGATCCCTCCCTCCTCCGAGCCCCGTTCCTCCTCCTATTTCTCATCCTCTTTGTCCCCCTCCTCTCCTCCTCCTCCTCCTCCTCCTCCTCCTCCTCCTCCTCCTCCTCCTCCTCCTCCTCCTCCTCCTCCTCCTCCTCCTCCTCCTCCTCCTCCCCCTCCCCTCCTCCTCCTCCCCCCCTCCTCCTCCTCCTCCTCCTCCTCCTCCTCCTCCTCCTCCTCCTCCTCCTCCTCCTCCTCCTCCTCCTCCTCCTCCTCCTCCTCCTCCTCCTCCTCCTCCTCCTCCTCCTCCTCTCCTCCTCCTCCCTCCTCCCTCCTCCTCCTCCTCCTCCTCCTCCTCCTCCTCCCTCCTCCTCCTCCTCCTCCTCCTCCTCCTCCTCCTCCCTCTCTCCCCCTGCCCCCCACCCTTCTCCTCCCCCACTCCCCCTCTGACGTCTCCTGCCGTCCCGCGGCGCGTTCCCCCACCCCCCCTGGGGTGGGCGCCGAAGTCGAAGCCGGCCGGCGCGTCGAGGACGACGTAGCTGTAGAAGGTCATACTGCGCGCCGCCCGCCCGATCGTTTCATGTGGAGCCCTGAGATCCTAGCGGTTCGATTTTAGTCGAGCCCGGCGTATTCGTCCTACCATCGGGGCGTTGACCCCATGAGCGCTAAACAAGGAACGAGGCCCCTGTTTTTCACAAGTTAGCCTTCGACTTTCAATCGAAAACCTGGAGAAAACCTATGGCAAGCTGTTGAAACGATCAAGGAACACGGGGCCCGTCCCCAACGACAAGGGCTCCTTCTTCAGCGCTCCGACTGCATTCCCGGGCCCCGCGGCGCTGGCAGATCGCTCCGGCTCCAGCCATGGCGCAGGACGATGGGGTCGAGGGTTCTGGGCGCGATTTCTGCAAATGCTGGATGTTCTCGCGACGTGGGATCCAGGGGTGGCGACCGGTCGGATCTCATAGGAGGACACCAACCACACACCAGCACCGATCCTGGCCAAGATCACCCTGGGCCCAGGATCGGTGTATACTCCCTCCTGCCTGGGGCAGGAAGACATATACCCCGATCCTGGCCTGGGCCCAGGATTGGCCTGGCCAGGATCGGTGTAGGTGTATAGTTGGTGCCCTCCGATCTCAGGGGGGGGGCGACGGCGTCGGCGAGGGCGCAGGCGTCACCCAGACGGCGCCACCGAAGCGCAGGGGCCATCCAGACAGTCCCGGGCGGCCCAGGGACGACCCGAGAAGACTCGTGGCGGCCCAGGGCACGCGCGGCGGTGGGCAACTTGCCGCGGGGAGCTGGGTGTTGCGCAGCGCAGCTGTTGACATCGCAAGCAGCCCAAACAGCTGCAACATCCCGTGCGCGTTTGCGGCCAGACCCTGAGCTTTTGGGCGTCGCAGCGCAGCCGAGGCAGTCCGCACGCTCGTCCGAGGTGACCGGGGCGACGGTGCTACGACTTGTCCCGCCTAAAAGAGGAGGGGAGAAGACGAGAGACGGCCGCAGGGAGCGGAAGTAAAGAAGGCGCGCTCACGCGGCTGGGCCGCGGGGTGTCGCGCGGGGTGGCCGTGCCAGAGGGCAGCCCCTGGCAGCAAGCGCGGGGCGGCGTCGCGGGCGCACCCAGGGGAGGCACCAGCGGCAGCAGCGCAGGGTGAGGCCCAGCAACTAGGGAGATGCCGGAGCAGCAACAGTTCCGCCAAAGGCGGGGCGGCCAGTGCGAGAGGTGGGGCAGAGGCGGTGGGGGCTGCGCGAAACTGCAGCGGTGGACTGGGCAAGGGGCGACACGCCAAGCGCCGGTGCAGCGTGGCGGAGGCGAGGAGAGGCGCGACTTCAGCGTGGGGGGGGAGAGCCGCGACAGGGGGGCGAAGGGCCAGGCAAAGCCGAACGGCCAGAGAGAGCCGCGGGGCCTGGGCGGCCGCAGAGCGGCGCATGGAGGCCATGCAAGAGGCTGCGGGCGGCGGGGCGTGGCGGGGGCGCGGGGGGGGCGAACAGCAGCGAGCCGAGCCCAGGCCTGGTGCACGTATCGCAGCCGTGAACAGGGCGGCGCCCAGCGGAACCGGGGGCTGGGCGAAGGCTCCAGGCAAGCAGCCGGGGGGCAAAATGGGAAGGCGACGCGGCGGCTGCGTCCCCCAAAACAGGGCATCAACGAGCTGCCGGGCAAGGGCCACCAGCCGAAGGCACAGGGACGGACCTGCCAGGCTCATGGCCAGTGAAGCGGCGTGTGCGCCAAACGGGCGGCGTGTGCGCCAAACGGGCTGGGGGCCAGTGCGGCCCAAGGCAGAGCACGTGTCGGAGCGCACCAGCATCGGGCCGAGGGGGGGGGGGGGGGGCGCAATCTCAGGATGGCTGGCGCGCCCCGCGCTGAAGCCAGGAGCGCGTGGCCAGTATACAGACAGGTGGCCACGAGCTGGGCTGGGGCCTCAGCGGGCGCAAGGCGCGGCACCTGGGTTGGATGCGGTAGCGGGTTTGGATTCCCGACAAACGAACCCGAGTTAGCCCTGACCCGAGTTACCCCTGATGATTTGGGGCTCTGGACGCCCGAACTATGCGGGGTAACTCGGGCCCGGGGTAGCTCGGGTTCGGATTCCAGAACAACGAACCCGAGATAGCCCTGAAAAGGGGGCGTTCCACACACGAGCCGGTTCGAGCAGGACGCTGAACTGGAGCGCGTGTTCAACTCGACCGCATCCCTGCCGCGCAGCTGCGCCGGCACGGTGGCGGGACTTCGAGCTTCGCACCGCTGCTTAGTGGCATGGTTTCGACTCTTCGTCGTACCACTCCTGCTCGCCAAGATCTCCAAAATCGCAGAAGAAGCTGCGCCTTCCTAACGGCGGCGCTCGCGATGATGATGATCACCAAAAAACTATTCATCAGATTGGCAACGGTGAGGTGGCGGTCTCGATACTGCGCTGGATGAACAGGTGGAAGTTATCTGGGCTGGCTTGGCCACGGACGCCTTGTTCAACTTGGGTGCCCAACTGGTGCCGAATTGGCCGCAGGCTCCCTCGGCACCAGCCTGGCGTCCAAATGGAACCAGGCGCGTGCGGCGTGCAGTCTTGGGAGAACGCAACAGATCCCGATATCGCCACCCCCTGGACCTTTTTGGGGGTGCGCTCTGACCCAGATCTCGGGGCGAATCCAGCCCTGGTGGCCATCTCCTCCTCCTGCTGGGGGGGGAGGAAGTAAGAAGGGCGGCCGCCGTGGAGGAGGAGGAGGAGGAGGAGGAGGAGGAGGAGGAGGAGGAGGAGGAGGAGAGGAGGAGAGGAGGAGGAGGAGGAGGAGAGGAGGAGGAGGAGAGAGGAGGAGGAGGAGGAGGAGGGGGAGGAGGAGGGGGAGGAGGACAAGCTAGGTGCGCTCGCGTCATATCTGACATCCTACCCCTCCCTCCCATCCCTTACCATGGCGTAGATCCCCTCTCTACTCGCACAGTCGGATGTCGAGCAGGGCAATGATCGCGAAAGGGTACGCGATGCATTGTAGAGCACGGCATGGCATGGCGTAGAAGAGCACCGCAAAGCGTAGTATCAACCTAGCATTGCATTGCATGCCGTGGCATGGCACGGGAAATGACGCCAGCGCTGCAGCGGGAGCACGAGTCGAAACGAGCGGAAGCGCGGAAATGAGGCCAGCGCTGCAGCGGGAGCACGATTCGGAACGAGCGGAAGCACGGAAATGAGGCCAGCGCTGCAGCGGGAGCAAGATTCGGAACGAGCGGGGCCCGAAAATGAGGCCGGCGCCTTAGCGAGAGCAGCATTTTGAAAAAAAATGCAAGCGAAAACCCAACTCCCGGGAATCCTGTGCGTAAAAAAAACAGTACGCGGGGGGGGGGTCGAACACTCCCAGCACGTCATCAGGGGAAGAGGGAGAGTAGTATTCATATTGAGTAATTGTAGAGGAGGAGGAGCAGGAGGAGAAGGAGGAGGAGGTGGAGGAGGTACATCTCGCCACGGCCAGCCTGCTGCACCGCGCGTGGGGGAGCGGCCCGCACGCAGAGCCGCCGTGCCCTTCCACGGACACCCCCACCACATCGCACAACTCCTCCTCCTCCTCCTCCTCCTCCTCCTCCGCCTCCTCCTCCTCCTCCTCCTCCTCCTCCTCCGCCTCCCTCTCCTCCTCCTCCTCCTCCTCTCCCTCCCCTCCTCCTCCTCCTCCCTCCTCCTCCGCCTCCGCCTCCGCCTCCGCCTCCCTCTCCTCCTGCCTCCCCTCCTCCCTCCTCCTCCTCCTCCCTCTCCTCCTCCTCCCTCCTCCTCCTCCTCCTCCTCCTCCTCCTCCTCCTCCTCCTCCTCCTCCTCCTCCTCCTCCTCCTCCTCCTCCTCCTCCTCCTCCTCCTCCTCCTCCTCCGCCTCCCTCTCCTCCTCCTCCTCCGCCTCCCTCTCCTCCTCCTCCTCGGCCTCCCTCTCCTCCTCCTCCTCCTCCTCCTCCTCCTCCTCCGAAGGTTGCCGTGTGCACTTCGCTGCTCCGTGCACGGCAGCCTGGGCATCGCCGCTCGGCCGTGCGGCCGGCTCGCCGAGGGCGGGGACCGTGCCGCCGCGGCCCGCACGGTGAGGGCATTGGGCGAGGAACCCGTGGAGAAGGAAGCCGGGGTCTGGAGGCCACTGGGACGCCAATGGAAGCTAGTTCCCCAATCAGAGCTTGCCTCTGTAGGGGTCCCAGCGGATTCAAATGGTTGGGTTAGGTGTGCCGCCGATTTTCGCTGCACGCCCGGGTGCCCGGGGGTGCCCGGGTGCCCGGGGGCCCGGGGGTGCCCTGGTGCCGGGGCGTCTGGAGGCCACTAGGACGCCAGCTGACGCTAGGTTAAATTGGGCAAGTCCCTCTACAGGCGGAATATTCAAAATTTGCCGGCCCAACGGGCCAGAGGCGTGCTATAAGATCTCCGGTAACTGGTTAACAATATTTCTAGTTCGCGCGCGCGGGGCGGCCCCTGGGGGTCCCCCACTGGGACGCCAGTTGACGCTAGGTTAAGTTGGGCACGTCCCTCTACAGGCGGAATGTTCAACCATGAACAACAGAGTGCGATGGGTACGAGTTGTACCCCTGACTCTGAAGAAAACCAGGTGTTGAATCTGTTCGATTACTTGCCGGGCATCGCCAAAACTTGTTCCTCGCGAGGAAAACTAAACCGAACTGCGCTGAAATGAACTGAACTGAACTAAACTGAACAGACTGATCGAACCCGTTCCGCGACGGTTTTATTCTCGGCAGCCAACTATGACGCAACCGATACGAGACGGTTGTATTCTCGGCCGCCGAGGGCGCAACCTATGGCGCAACCGACACGAAACGGTATTATTCTGTGCCGCCGAGGGCACAAACTATGGCGCAACCGACCGGCGACGGCTTTATTCTCGGCCGCCGAGGGCGCAACCTATGGCGCAACCGATAGGCGACTGTTTTATTCTCGGCCGCCGAGGGCGCCTATGGCGCAACCGATAGGACACGGTCGTATTCTCGGTCGCCGACGGCGCAACCTATGGCGCAACCGAGAGGCGACGATGTTATTCTCAGCCGCCGAGGGCGCAAACTATGGCGCAAACGATAGGAGACGGTTCGATTCTCGGCCGCCGAGGGCGCAACCTATGGCGCAACCGATAGGACACTGTCATATTCTCGGTCGCCGAGGGCGCAACCTATGTTTCATTTTCGGCCGCCGAGGGCGCAACCTATGGCGCAACCGATAGGAGACGGTTCTATTCTCGGCCGCCGAGGGCGCAACCTTTGGCGCAACCGATCGGAGACGGTGTCATTCTCAGCCGCGTATGGCGTAACCTATGGCGCAACGAATAAGAGACTCATACTCTCTGCCGCCGAGGGCGCAACCTTTGGCGCAACCGATCGGAGACGGTTTTATTTTCGGCCGCCCAGGTGCCAGGAGAAAGAGGATGAGCAGGAGGAGGGAGAGGAGAAACGAGGACGAGGTCCTAGACGAGGACGACTAGGAGGAGCTAGAGCAGGAGGAAGACGAGCAGGATGAGGAGGAGGAGGACAAGGAGGACGACGACGACAACGATCAGGATGGGGAGGAAGACGGGGAGGAATACGAGTAGTACGAGGACGAAGTGCGGGCATTCGAATACGTGCGGGGCTACGCCCGATTTATGCTCGCCGTTTGGTCTGGCGGTAGGGCCCAAGCGGCGAGCTGTCTTGTGATTTAGTTGTCTTCCAAAATCCGCCTGTAGGAGGACATGCCCGACCAGGCTAGGTCATGGATATCACCGCCCCCACCACCAAAGAATCCGCCAGGGCCTGAAGCCTTCGCGAAGGCCCTCACCGTACCACAACAGGCCGTCCTCCCCGCTCTGCATAGCGCAGAGATGTGGCCGATCTCGCCACGACTCGGGCTCTGCGGGCTGCAGGCTCCAGCCCCATCCCTCCAGGGCCGGGCGGTGAAGCTGACCGCCGCTGCCCCATCCAGGCGCTGCAGAAAGCGCCGACGCGATGCCTCCCATCACCATCCGCGGACGAGCAGTAGGCGTTACAGACATGTGCTCATGCACGCAAGTAGAGGCAATGCGCACCCCTGGCTTGTCTCATGTATGGAACCGTTACGCTGATAGACTACGAAGCGTCTGCTTTTGCTTCCTCAACACCACTCAGCTTCCCGCGGCCCTCTCCACACGCAACCGCGCGCGCGCGCTCCAGGGCACGGCCTTCACCAGCGCCTCCCGTGCCGCCACTGGGGTCCGCACGTTGTCTCGTCGGGCTCCGCGCGGGGGCAACGGGGCACGGCAGGACGCCCGCGCGCTTCAAAAGGGCTACGTACTGTACGTCCACGCATTTCAAAAAAAGCAGACCACGTACTGTACATGCCATCGCTCCGAGGGTTGCGACAAGCCGCGCGTTGGGGAACCGTCGCGCCAGCGCGGCGCTGTGAGACTTAAGCACGCAGACTCAGCCGAGCCTCGTGGGCCGATGAGCTGGGGGAGCGAGTGATCCAAAGACAAGGCAGAACCGGAGGTGACTGAAGGACTTGCCGTCCCCTCATGGGCCGCGTTGCAATTATGGTCGCACCAGCGGGCATTGGGAGACCCTCCCTCACACCGCCGGCTGCGTCAGCGCCGCGTTGGCCTTCGCAGCCCAACGGTGGTGGTTCTCGCCACCCTCCTCCCGGCTGGCCTTCTCCACCAAGGACTTCACCATGCATCGGCCCCTCCAGCGGACGCCCAGGCTGGTGGCGATGGCCAATGTGCCGTCGGTGATGGAGAACGTCTGCTGCGCCCAGACCTCAAAGGAATCCTTGTAGGGTACATCAAGCGACCTGCTGAGCTCGGTGAGAACCAGATCCCCCTCGCTCTCGTCGGGAAGATGGTAGACCAGCACCACGCGCGTCTGCTTGGGTGCCATCGGCCTGGGCTTCAGCCGCAGCATCATGGTCACGGTGAGCATAACGCCGCCGCCAGGGCACGGCTCCCACTGCCGCAGCTCCAGCTGGGACCCCCCGGCCTCCCGCCACGTCTGCTGGATGATGCCGTGCTCGTCTGTCCGCATGATCTCCTCGCGCACGCGCGCCTGCGAGCCGCGGGTCGCGGGGCCGTCGAGCGGGGACTTGTTCAGGGAGTGCATCGTGAGGGTCGAGGAACAAACAGTGACACAAGATTATCTTTCGGAGGCCCGCGCAGATTTCTTGCACCGGCGCTGGGGGCGCCGCCGGGGGGCTCCAGCGCGGATCCAATCGATCCGTGCGGCCCTCCGGAAGTTCAATGCTCATGCCAAGTCTTTGCTCCTCGAGAGGGACCTGGTGGCGGCGACGCCCCCTCCGAGCAGCAGCGCCCGCATCTCCGCCGCGGCGCGCTCCTCTGCGGAAACCACGAGGTACCTATACAGCTACACCCCGGACCTCTCCCGGGGTGCGATCTGACCAGGATTTCGAGGCGAACCCAGCGGTGGCGACGAGGGCCTCCCAGGGAGCTCCAAAAAGGGAAAGAGAGGCGAAGGGTAGCGGCATGGGTACCTTTTCCTCCTCCGAGCTCCTCCCCGTCCGACGGCGCCGCAGCCGCGGCGGCGGCGGCGGCGTCGGCCTCCGCGGCCGCGCCCGGCGGCGCGGCGCCGCCGCGCGCCTCCCACAGCGCCTCGAGGCGCCGCGCGGGCTGCTCCGTCGGCGCGAAGCGCAGCCGCAGGCGGCCGGGGGGCCGTCGGAGCTCCAGCTCGTAGGACAGCGGGCCCGGCCTGTGGGTGGTTCCGGGCGACCGACGATCAACAAGGGGTCGCACGCGAGATGGCACAGCGCCCCAACGCGGTGGCTTACGCGGGCCGCCGGCGCGGCACGCTACATCGGAGAAGTGGGCGCTTACGCGCGACCTTACGCGGGCAGCTTGCGCGCCAACGTCGGCGAAGACGCCCCAGGTTTTTTGCGTCGCTCAGATGGGGACCTGAGGGACGAGGTCTCTCATGAAGGACGAGGGCCTAGAAGAAAAACGAAAAGGCATGAGCAGAAACTTCTGGCGCTCTGCGCGGATTTCTTGGATCCACGCTGGGCCCCTGGCGCGCTCCGCGCGCTAAGAGGGGGTCCAGCGCAGTTCCAAGAAATCCGCGCGGAGCGCCGAAAGTTCATGTTTATGCCGTTCCTCTTCTTCGAGGGCCTCAGGCAGTGCAGCTTCAACGCACCATCCGCTGCCCGTCGTTGGGGCCCCAGTCCCTCAGGGTCCCATCTTTGAACTGGGGAAACCAAAAGGTACCGATACCGGTACTCCCCGGACCTCTCCCGGGGTGCGTTCTGACCAGGATTTCGAGGCGAATCCAGCGGCGGCGACGAGGAATGCCCAGGAGGCCCCAATAAAGGGGAAAGCGGGCGGAGGGGGTAGCGGTATGGGTACCCCTTCCTCCTCCGAGAGCCGGTGTCTCGAGCGGCAGGGGCAGCCCAGCAGCCACCCGAGCCACGGCCGCGGCTGCCCCTCGGCCGCCGCGGGGCCCTCCTGGCCGCCGCCCTCCCACGGGCCGCCTGGGGCCACGGCCGCCACGTCGCCCCAGGACACCTCCACCTGCGCGCCGGCCGCCGCCGCAGCCTCTGGGCCGGCCGAGCTCGCGCTGGGCGGCGACTCCAGAGGGAGTGGTTTGCAAAGGGCGTGGTTTGCAACGGGCACCCTGGGGAGCATCCTGGGGGGGCACCCTGGGGGGCGCGCGGGGGCCTCGATAGAGTTCTCCCGCGCCCCGAGGAGGCCCGACGAGGACAGCGTCGTGCCCCCCAGGCCCCAGCGGTGCCGATCGCAGACCACACCCCGGCGTAACCATACCCTTTTGCAGTCGCCGGGCTGGGCTGGAAGCTGATGCCGGCGTCGGTCACGGTCAGCTCGCCCGCGTGCCAGGTGCCGCCCTCGTCCCCCTGCGAGGCGCTGCACGAGACGACCTCCTGGAACCTCGTGTGGCGCTCCTTCCACGGGCCGCGCACCAGGGTGCGGGCGGCGCCGAGCGAGAAGCTGAGGCTGGCCGAGCTGCCGCCGTCCGCGGCCGGCGCCCGCGCGCCCGCAGCTCCGCCGGCCTCTATGAAGGGGTCGTCGCAGGCCTCCAGCTGCGGCCCCCGGAGCTTCTGGCAGCACTTCCGCGCCAGCCGCACCGCCATCGCGCCGAGGGCGGGCACGGCGCGCCCGTGTCGGGAGCGGCGGCCGCTCGAGCCCAGACGGCTGTGGCCAAAATACAGGGCAGTTTTTTGTACATAATATTTCATGACATATAGAATTTTAGTACATGATTAATTTATGAATGCATGTATGCATGAACTCATCGCTGTGTCAAATACTAAATCCCTGCATGCTTAATACATGATCCGCACGCGGAGCGTGTATCAAAAATGGCACTGTATGCTCTGCGCGATGGCGGGTGCGTTCTCGGCTGCCGACGAACTCTGGAGCGGTGACCTGGAACCAGAGGGCTACGTATCAGCTGCGGCGACCAAGTGAGGTCGCATCCCTCCAGTTCTGTCTCACGTCTCTGCCAGGCAACCATCCCCCGCTCCAGAGAGAAGTGTTCGATAAGGCCTGTGTTGCAGCGATCCCCCGCAGCAGCGCATCAATTGCCGCTCTGTGAAATGGTTCCAGAGAGCGTTGCAGTTCGGGGCCAAAGCAGCTGCAACATCTCACGATCCAGCGTGGCAGCTCCTCTACGCCGCGCCCTGCCGCGCACGCTAACCGTACCAACGGTTTGCTCTCTGAAGAAACGAGTGGCCGGCCTACCAACAAAAAACACTTGTTGGGAGGGGGCCTAAGTCTCCCGGCCGCTCGAGGTTGCCTCATAATTCTTACAGGGGTGCCACCCGACGGCCAGGTGCACCCACGATGCCAGGGTCTGCCGTACGATCTCCCGTGTGGTCTCCCGTGCGTATGTGCAGTACTGTGTGCTCCGGAATGATGTCGTTCCGGGTCTGTTCTGCCTCCCCATCCTCGTCATCGTCGTCCTCCTTCCGTCTGGAACCGCCCGCGTCCTTCGCTCGGACACGGCGCCGGCGCGAATCGCTGAGGGGGACGGGTCCTGTGGGTGACCCGGAAGAAGACCATCACGGAGCTCGCCACGCCACGCTCCAGCACCATGGGCTGCAACTCGGCGAGCAGGAGGGGGGGGGGGTGGAGGAAGGGCAAGTTCGGATCGGACTCCCATCGGGGCACGGAGGGGGAGGAGAGGGAGGGAGGGAGGCAGCGGGAGGGAGGGAGGGAGGAGCATGAGGAGGAAGAATCTCCGTAGTGCACATCCGCATCAGGCCATGGCTGAGCTGGCCAGAGCCAGGCGCGGGAGCCAACCGGGCAGACGATGCTCTGCTGCCATCACTCCCTGCACACGTGATCTCTGACCCCCCCGCCTCCAAACCGCATGATGTATCAGATGGAGGATGTCGGAGGAGGCAGGGGCCCCGTGGCGGGAGAGGCCGCAGGAGAGACTATCTCTGGGCGACGGCTGGTCATCCTCAGAACGTGTGTTAGCGCCACCGTGCGCTTGTCCACCGCAGCACTTCAATACGACGCAGGCACAGGCTGCGCGCGATTGGCGGAGCTAAGCGGGATAGACACACCGTGGGTGCGAGGCCAATTTTACACCCCACCACCGCCCGTAACACTAATTTACGGCAAAAAGGGGTAGGGGCAGGGTCATGCCAGACGACGCTGCGACGCCACGGCGAAAAGGAGCGCGGCGCAGCTCGCAGGCGCTGTGGCATGGGGGGTTCCTGGAGCAGAAACAGCACTTCTTGGTAGTGGTGTATATAAATTGCTCCTCTTGGTAACCAACATGTTATACACCTCCACCGCGCGTGCTTTGATGAAGTCTGTTTCGGTCCTTGGGAGAGAGGGGGCAGCCCGTTTGCCGTTGGCGGCGGGAGGGGGACTGCGGGCTTTTCACGAGAGCAACACTGCACCAAATCGCATCGTATATGATTCTCGATCTTGGTGGTGGTAGTCCTACGCTGTGCTCGGATTGGGCTAGCAATCGCCGCGCGGATCATCGAGACACAGCGGGAGCGAATTGTATGTACCGAGTGGGCAGCAGGGCAACTTGGATGGAAGGCAGAAAGGCTTGGGGCCGGCAGGGCTCCGGGCTGCGCGCAGACAGCCCCCCAGGTAGTCCCAGTTGGCATCTACAGGCCCCTCCAGGTAGCCCCATCTGGCCTCAACAGGCCCCCCGAGTAACCTGGGGCGGCCTCAACACCCTGGCGCCGCCTCCGGCGGCGCCCCTGGGTCGCGGAGCGCCCCAGGGTTCGGGTCTTGAGACCGCCCTGGGCTACTCGGGGTGCCTCATGGGGCCAACCGGGACTACCTGAAGGAGCATTCAGCGTGCAACCTGAAGCCTTACCACTTAGGGCTGCGCACAGCCAGCCTCTGGGAAGCACCATATGGACGGAACGGAAAAGATGCCCATGTTCAAGATTGAGCGCGGAAACGTCGGTGCCGATCTTGGTCATTGCCCGTCTTGGTCGTCGCAGATTCGTGGATCATCTTCGCGAATCGGCGTCGACAAAATCAAGCGACACCTTGGTCATGGCCACCGTGGCCCTTCCCTCGACCATGGCCCAGGCTGGCCCCAGTGGGCTTCCAGCATGGACCAGGGCGCTCGCAACCATCCCCGCGCCTCCTCCGGCAGTGCCCCTGGGGCGCCGCGCGCCCAGGGGGCTCCAGGTGTTCCTGCCACCCTGCGACGACCCCGAGGGGGCCCAGCCAGCCAGAGCACCTCCGGGGGGCCGCCTGCGCGCCCCCCTGCAGACGAAGCCAGGACGAGGACGAAATCGGAGGAGGGTCTATAGATCGAGAATCTCTGAGGTCTGGCAGCTCCGGAAGATGCCTCGGGCGCCGCGGCCTTTTCGGAACGTTCCCGAACGCTCTGAGGGCGTTCCGGAACGCTCTGGCACGGACTTGCCCGCCGATCGGAAGAGGTAGGTAAAAACATGAAGTAGGAAGGCGGATGAAGTAGATTGGGCCCAGGCCCTCCTAGAGAATAAAAAACGCAGCAGAAGCATATCGATTATTGAAGTAGGAAGGCGCTTCAAGCAGATTGGGATCAGAGAATCCAGAAACACTTACTTCCAACGACCGTCGTGCATCCTCGTCCCAGCCCCGTCCGACCTCCCCTCCCTGCCACCCCAGACATCCTGCGCCTGGACTTCTCTGGTGCGTGGGCCTGGAAACTCTCAAGCCCCGGGCTGCCTTTTCATCCCGAGCTAAGGCAGCGACATCCGAATCCTACCCCGCCAACCATGGATTCGATTCTCCCGACCCGATGCGAATGGGGGGCTGGCCTTCCCGGAAGGCGGCGGGGCATCTCAGAAGCCCACCTGCCTCCCAATCCCCTGGGTGCTGCCCAAGTGTTGTGTCCTCACCACGTTCTCACGCACATGGGGAGTAATCTGATTGCCATAGCATGATTCACGTTCTTGTCACATGAGAATTAATATGGAGCACCAACTTCGTATCTATGAAGTTCATCCAATTGACTATTGCCTACACAAGCTTTATTGAATTAAACAAGCGGAAACATAGTGAGAAATACCTTACTATAAAGCATCAAACTATAATGGATTTGATATAATGATGCGACTGCCAAAATCTTCTGTATACCACACGCTAATTCTTTGATCACATTGGAAGAATGAATTCTTGTAACGGCAACTAGATACACACAACATGATACAACACAGCAATTGTGTTGTACCCTGATTGACATCTCTTTCTGCATGTATGCACAAATAACATAGCTTCTCCTGGTATGCAATGAATTATCTGCCGTGACTCATTCCATATATATATATATATCTCATAACCACGGCTCTTATACATCTTGTATGAGTAAGAAACTTGTCGATCATGACTTAAACCTTTATTGGGCTCTAACTTTCTAAATTACTTAACCTATTCTTTCAACGGAGGAGGAAAAAGGAGAAGGAGGAGGAGGAGGAGAGAGGGGCGTCTCGTTATTCTCCTCCCCGGCTCTCTGGCCGCCGCTGCGCCAAAAAACTGCCAACTGTTTTTCACCATCACCATCTTTCATGCGTCCTTGGGCGGTTCCGCGTTGCGACGCCCACCCATGCAATGATCCGTAATACGGCACGATGCTATGCTGCGCTACCCTGAAAGATCTCATTGGAACCTGGGGATGGTCCCTTGGATAACCACGGGGGAGGCCCCCTGCTGAACCAGTGAGTAAAAAATACTGCCGCTACCTGGACGCCTTGACCAAAACAGTGTACGAGCGTGTAGCCCCTTGAGCAATCCCCCTGGCTGGGGACGAAAACTTCGCTGAGGTCGCGCCATGCTATGTTTTGGTACCCTCCTTCAAGCCGCCCTGCGCTGCGCGTCCTCGTCGCTGTAAGTCGTGGTGAAGAAACACGTTGCGCGGGTCCAGAGGGCAACATATCATGCCTTATAAGCTCCCTGCGACGGCACAGGATGCGGTTGCAGACCACGCCGCAACCAGCAGCGCTCATGAGCGTGGCTCCAGGATTCCCTGGTCTGCTTCCGCTGTTGGCTGGGGGCCTTTCTGGGTGAGACGTCGATATTGGTATGAAATGCCCAGTCCTAGGTCCATGCGGTAATGCGCTGCGTTGCATCTAATATACGCATGAGCCAAAGAAATAGTGAAACTGAAGGTCATCCCATCGAGCGGTGGTGTCTCGTGCACCAGACGCTTGCTAAATGTCAGACGGGAGCAGGACTCGTCCAGCACGGGCAGCTACAAAGATGAGACACTATAGGCTCGGACGTTTTTCTCCAAACGCAACACCAGCGCCCCAACAACTCTCGACAGAAAACTGTTCGCATCAACGGACTCGCGGTCCACACGTTCCTCTTGAACTTCGGCCCTCCCCCTCTCCCCTGGGGGTGATCCACCCCGTCAGTTAGAAGTTTATGGAGGAGAGTGGATGGAGCCTGGTCTGGGCGATTCTGCCTTGGACGTCCTCGAATCTACGCAGGTTGGCCCAAATCTTGGCGGACATCCACAACGCGCTGTGAATCGGCATGGGCGCGTGTGGCGGCGTTTGGAGAAAACCGTTTCCGAGCCCGTAGGCTACGCGCGACGATCTCCCAACCGACACCACGTACTGAATGAGCCGCGCGAACATCCTTACGTTGTTCATTGCGGGCGGCGAAACATGTACGTATGCAGAATGTGGTAGACTGTGAAATTAAAAGCAGGTCCACCACAGTTTAAGGACACTGAACATCACTGGAATGGATGGTCGAAGGGACGGGCAAGACATCACATATAATTAAACGTGTGTGTATACATATATATATATATACACACACGAGAACCACGCGCGCTTAGGTTCTAGCGCAGGCCAGGCTCCCCATTTTCGGAAACGAGGGACGGGAGACGGAAAGTGGCAGGAATGATGAGCTAGGGGGAAAGGAGTCCGCCGACGACCCCCGCTTGCCAGGGGTGAAAAGGCGTGTGAGAGATTTGGCTGTCCCCCTCCCCCTTTCCCCCTCCTCAGGGGTCCAAAATTGGATGATTGGGTGGTGGGGGGGGGCTAGGGAGGTGGGGGGCAGACGAACTCCTCAACGCACCCCCTAGGCTTCTGGAGTTCTCAGAGATCCTCAAGAAGGCCCAAGACAACAAAACAGAGCGTCAACACAGCCCAAGGCAGCGTCGGAACGGTCGTGCGACCGATAGTGACAACAGCAGTGAGATCGATCGCGAGATCGATAATGAGATTGATTGAGTGAGATCGATTGTGATCCATAGTGGTTTCGATAGTGAGATCGACAGTGAGATCGACCGTGAAATCAATTGACTGAGACCGGTAGTGAGATGGATCGTTAGATCGATACTGACATCGATAGTGCGATCGAAAGTGAGATCGACAGTAAGATCGATAGTACTACCGCGTGTGATATTAATACAGAGATCGGTCATGATATCGACAGGCGAAAGTGAGATCAACAGTGAGATCGATTGTGAGATGATCGATCGTGAGATCGATAGTGGGATCGACACTGGAATCGATTGTGCGATCGATTGAGTGAGATCGGTTAGGTGATTTCGATTGAAAGTGAGATCCATTGAGCGAGATCGATTGTGATATCCATTGAATGACACGCACGTTGGTTCTTCCCCCCCACACAACGTCCTTATCACCCGAAGAGTGGTCGTATAGGTCAGAGGCTGGGGGGCGAGATCGAAGTGGAACGGACAGCCCCCCACAAGGAAATCGGTTTCGGTTTCGGGTTCGTGTCGCGCGTGCGGACAAGGCGAAACTACGAGGGAGGGCGAGAAGAATGACCCGGCTGTTGCTGAGGCGGGGCGCGACAATTGTCCGAACATTCCTCGATGGGCGGGCGGTGGCCGGGTTGTCCCGCCGTGGTGTCCACCGTTGTGTCCACCGTGGTGTCCCGTCGGTGTTCCGTCGATGTCTCGTTGGTGTCCCGTGGCTGTTCCGTCGCTGTCCCGTCAGTGTCCCGGCGGGGTTCCGATGGTGTCTCGTCGGTGTCCCGTCGGTATCCTGTCGATGTCCCGTCGGTGTCCCATCGGTGTCCCATCGGTGTCCCGTCGGTGTTCCGCCAGTGTCCCGTCGGTGTCCCGTCGGTGTCCCTTCGGTGTCCCGTCGGGGCCTCGTCGGTGCCCCGTCGGTGTCCCGTAATGAGACTGTTCGTGAGATCGATCGTGCGATCGATGGTGTGACCACTGGTGATGTCGATCGTGAAATCGATAGTGGGACTGATCATCACAAGACAGCTCGCCGCTTGGGCCCCACCGTCAGCCCAAACTGCGAGCATAAATCGGGCGTTGACCCGCACGCATTCGAATTTCCATACTTCGTCCTCTTACTACTCGTATTCCTCCCTGTCCTCCTCCCTATCCTGATCGTCGTCGTAATCCTCCTATTCATCCTCCTTCTCATCCAACTCTTCTTCCTCGTCTTCCTGCTGCTCCAGCTCCTCCTCGTCGTTCTCCTCTAGAACCTCGTCCTTGTTTCTCCTTTTCCTCCTCCTGTTCATCCTCCTTCTCCTGGCACCTCGGTGGCCGAGCCTAAAGCCGTCTCCGATCGGTTGCGCCATAGGTTTCGCCTTCGGCGGCCGAGAATAACATCGTCTCCTCTCGGTTGCGCCATAACTTTCGCCCTCGATGGTCGAGAATAAAACCGTTTCTTATCGGTTGCGCCATAGGCTGCGCCCTCGGTTGCCGAGAATTTTCCTCAGCAGCCTGAGTGCGCGCAGCGCGCACGTCCAGCCCCTGCGTCGCGGGCCGCACGGCGGCCCTGTTGGCCGCCTCTGGAGTCGCCGCAAACGGCGGCAACTCGACAGGACAGAGCGGCGGCGGCGCAGCTGTGTCGCGGGCGGCAGCTCAGTGGAAGTGGAGCCCGCCGCGACGCCGTCACGCTAGTGGCCTCCCAGTCGGAGCCACTCCTCTCATGATCTTCTCGTCCTTCCTCCTGCGCTCCGCCTGGGCGCTGGGCTTGAGCGCTGGAGCACAGGCCAGGCCGAGCCCCCTGTGCTTGCTCTTCACCTCCTTTGCGTACTGGAAGCACTTCAGGCAGACGCGATACCCGAAGAAGGTGCGCAGGTCGTGGCCGCCCCCGTCCACGTCGAGCGCGCCAGAGCCGCTGGGCGGCGTCGCAGCAGGCTGGGCCTTGGCACCCCCGTCGCCTGCCGTCACTCCTCGTCAGCACGCAGGTCACCGTCACCGACGGATCCCAGAATCTGGCTCGTGCCACGATGCTGAAAGGAAGAGGAGCCCGCCGACGGCTGCTCCTTGTCAGCACGCAGGTCACCGCCCCCGACGGATCCCAGAATCTGGCTCTCGCCACGATGCTGACCGCCGTCGTCAGCACGCAGGTCACCGTCACCAATGGATCCCAGAATCTGGCTTTCGCCACGATGCTGATCGGATGGGGAGCTCGCCACGCTGCTGCATGCCTCACCGCTGGCAAGGGTGGGCTGGCTCTCGTCCTCCACGAAGCGGCGGGCTGCTGCGACCGCCACCGCGGCGGCACCAGCGTGCGCCAGGGCCGAGGTGCGCGGCCGCTTCTTGCCACCGCTGGTGTAGGCGTCGGGAGCGAAGGCCTTTGGCGTGCAGCTCTGCCTTGGGAGGTTCTTGGTCGAGATCTCAGTGAAGGCCGGCCGCAGGCAGCGCAGGCAGTGAAGCGCCTGAGCGCCCTCTGCTCCTCCCTTGATCTTGACCAGCTCGTGCTTGGAGATGTAGAGCCTGGGGCCCTTGGACTCGGGCTCCCTGTACTTGTCGCGGAAGTCGATCCTGAGGCCAGCAGCTTCGGCGCCTGCCTGCGATACCCAGAAGATCGCACCGTCCAAAGTGACCGCCCTTGTTCTCCTGGCCTCGCGCGTCTGTAGCGGCGCCCTGAAGTGCTCCGTGACAAACTTCGCCGCTCGGTCAGCTTCGTGGTTGCCTCGCCGACTGCGGAGAGTGGTCTTGCCCTCGTCCACGTCCTTGAACGTCGCGTGGCCCTTGACCTTCCGCACCGTGAGGCCGTCGCTGCTGAGGTCGCCGAAGTCGTCCAGCGCGTGCCAGATTCTGCGCCAGATCTCTCCCCAGGCGGACTTATGCGAAGTAGTGGCCTCGCGCCCTCTCTCCATCAAGCCTTTGACCACGTACTCGGCGTCGAAGTTGGCCGTGATAGGGGGGGGGGGGGGGGGCGAGTGCCTGAGGATCGCGCGGAGCGCGAGCAACTCCGCGACGTCGATGGACTGGATTGGCCCAGGCATAGGGGCGCCCATGGCCTTGACACACGATCCCCTGCCTGGGTCCTTCTGGTCCAGGCGGCTCGGTTGCCGAGAATAAAACAGTCTCTTATCGGTTGCGCCATAGGTTGTGCCCTCAGCGGCTGAGAATAAAACCGCCCCCTATCGGTTGCGACATAATTTGCGCCATCGGCGGCCGAGAATAACATCGTCTCCTATCGGTTGCGCCATCATATGCGCCCTCGGCGGCCGAGAATTTTTCCCCCCGCAGCCTGAGTGCGCGCAGCGCGCACGTCCAGCTCCTGCGTCGCGGGCCGCATGGCGGCCCTGCTGGCCGCCTCTGGAGTCGCCGCAAACGGCGGCAAATCGACAGGACAGAGCGGCGGCGACGCAGCTGCGTCGCGGGCGGCAGCTCAGTGGAAGTGGAGCCCGCCGCGACGCCGTCACGCTAGTGGCCTCCCAGTCGGAGCCACTCCTCTCATGATCTTCTCGGCCGTCCTCCTGCGCTCCGCCTGGGCGCTGGGCTTGAGCGCTGGGGCACAGGCCAGGCCGAGCCCCCTGTGCTTGCCCTTCACCTCCTTTGCGTACTGGAAGCACTTCAGGCAGACGCGGTACCCGAAGAACGTGCGCAGGTCGTGGCCGCCCCCGTCCGCGTCGAGCGCGCCAGAGCCGCTGGGCGGCGCCGCAGCAAGCTGGGCCTTGGCACCCCCGTCGCCTGCCGTCGGCGGCTGCTCGTCAGCACGCAGGTCACCGTCACCGGCGGATCCCAGAAACTGGCTCGCGCCACGATGCTGAAAGGAAGAGGAGCTTGCCGACGGCTGCTCCTCGTCAGCACGCAGGTCACCGTCTCCGACGGATCCCAGAATCTGGCTCTCGCCACGATACTGACAGCCCTCGTCAGCACGCAGGTCACCGTCACCAACGGATCCCAGAATCTGGCTTTCGCCACGATGCTGAACAGAGGGGGAGCTCGCCTCGCTGCTGCATGCCCCACTGCTGGCAAGGGTGGGCTGGCTCTCGTCCTCCACGAGGCGGCGGGCTGCTGCGACCGCCACCGCGGCGGCGCCAGCATGCGCCAGGGCCGAGGTGCGCGGCCGCTTCTTGCCACCGCTGGTGTAGGCGTCGGGAGCGAAGGCCTTCGGCGTGCAGCTCTGCCTTGGGAGGTTCTTGGTCGAGATCTCAGTGAAGGCCGACCGCAGGCAGCGCAGGCAGTGGAGCGCCTGGACGCCCTCTGCTCCTCCCTTGATCTTGACCAGCTCGTGCTTGGTGATGTAGAGCCTGGGGCCCTTGGACTCGGGCTCCCTATACTTGTCGCGGAAGTCGATCCTGAGGTCAGCAGCTTCGGCGCCAGCCTGCGATACCCAGAAGATCACACCGTCCAAAGTGACCGCCCTTGTTCTCCTGGCCTCACGCGTCTGTAGCGGCGCCCTGAAGTGCTCCGTGACAAACTTCGCCGCTCGGTCAGCTTCGTGGTTGCCTCGCCGACTGCGGAGAGCGGTCCTGCCCTCGTCCGCGTCCTTGAACGTCGCGTGGCCCTTGACCTTCCGCACCGTGAGGCCGTCGCTGCTGAGGTCGCCGAAGTCGTCCAGCGCGTGCCAAATTCTGCGCCAGATCTCCCCCCAGGCGGACTTATGCGAGGTAGTGGCCTCGCGCCCTCTCTCCAACAAGCCTTTGACCACGTACTCGGCGTCGAAGTTGGCCGTGATGGGGGGGGGGGCGAGTGCCTGAGGATCGCGTAGAGCGCGAGCAACTCCGCGCCGTCGATAGACTGGATTGGCCCAGGCATAGGGGCGCCCATGGCCTTGACACACGATCCCTTGCCTGGGTCTTCTCCTTCTGGCCCAGGCGGCAACTCGACTACTGCACATCCTGCCGTAGCCAGCGAAGTGCCTGCGTCGGCGAACAGCTCGGTGTTGATGAAAGGGTCGTCATCCCCTTTGAGCCACCTCAGCCCCTGTAGCAGGTCGCCCTGCGGGGGGCGCCAGCCGTGGCTGGGCTCAGGCAGCAGGAGCCGCTCGAACAGAGTCTTGATCGTGATGCTGGTCTCGAACTGCTTGAACTTCTCCAGCTCCTCGGGCAGCTCGAAGCTGGGCCAGCTCTCGCAGCGCTCCAGGTGTCGGTGCCGCAGGGTGCCCAGGGAGTGCGGGTGTAGCTCGCATTGTGGTGAAGGAGCGAGCCTCGGCGCTGCCTCAAGCCTTCGCTGGTTGAGCCACTGTCCGTGCGCCAGCAGAGACCTCGCGTAGCCCCTCTGCTTGTCGTCCAAGGGCTTCCACCTGCGGCCCTCGGAGGTGGAGGCTTTGCCCGTGCTGAGCCACCTGCGCACCTGTGGGACGAAGGCGCCGTAGGTGATGCCCTCGTGCGTGTCCGCTGCTAGCTGTCGTAGCTGCCAGGCCTGCGCGTCCCTGCGCAGCACCTGCTTGATGTACCAGGGTGCGGAGCTCGTGCTGTCGATGGTCTCGCAGGTGCTGTGCCTGCGCCACTGGTCGAAGCTGCGCACGTCGTAGCCGACGCGCCTGAGCGACAAGACTGCCGCAGAGATAGGCCCTCGGACCTCGCTCCAGCTGCGAACGTGCCTCGCGAAGCCGTCGAAGGTTGACTTGAGCACACCTGCGGGGACCCAGCCTTCCCAGAGCGCGCGTGCAAGGGCGCAGACAGGCGCCAAGGTAGCGCCGTACATCGGGTCGATCTCGCCCGGCCCGCCGAAGAGGAGGCAGCCAGTTGTGGACTTGCCCTGCGGCCTTGCCTCGATTGCCTTGACGACCAGCGCCCTGGTGTGCTTGAGCTCGCTGTCCGACATCCCAGTGCACGAGGCGCCGTACACAATGCTGGGCATGAGGCATGCGAAGGCGACCTTAGCCGCGGCTGCTCGGCCTCGCCGTAGCCCCAGCAGTCGTTTGATGCGAGGGAGCCTCGCCTCGGCGTTGGCCACGCGCAGCCTACGCACCGCGCTGGCACGCCGCCCTCCTTCAGCGTGGTCGACTCCAAGGTTACGCACGCTCGCCACTGCAACAGCACCGCATGCCTTGATGAGCTTTGCCTGGGGTCCCTTCCTCAACTTGGCGCTGCTGGCGAGGATCCTGGACTTCTTCGTACCGACCTTGAGCTTCGCCTTGCTGAGCTCCTTGACCAGCTTGGCACTGGCGACCAGGTCCTTCTCAACTTTGCCGGTGCCGCCCCAGCGCTGCATCACCAGGTCGTCCACGACCACTGCGGGAACTACCGCGCGGTGCTGGGTCACCATCGCATCCAACGGCGTGAGGAGCATCACCTTCATGAAAGTCGCGGCGAACGCATCGCCTGCCAGCACCGTTTGCATCACCATCAGCTCGTCCGAGCAACAGCCTTCCAGGCAGACCACGCGGGGCATGATGTACAGGTTGATCTGCAGCTTGGCCAGCCAGAGCGGGAAGTTGTGGGCCTGGCAGGCCTTCAGGAGCTGGCTGTGCAGTACCTGCTCGAAGGCCTTCCAGAGGTCGAGGAGGATCGACGCCGAGGCCCAGTCATGCTGTTCGTAGAGCGCGCCCTCATGTGGACCCACTCGGCCCTGGCCTGCTGCTGCCACACGGCACGGTCACAGCTCTTGCCCGCGCTGGCCCACCAATATGGCCTGTCGTGCTCTCGTTCCCACTGCTTCGCGACAGGCCTTCGCAACCTTCCGTGGATGCGCACGATGGCCCCCAGCAGCGCGACGGGCGAAGCCCTCCGTCAGCCTTGGGGATGAAGGCCATCTTGGTGATGAAGTCGGGCCACTCGCACCTCTGCTCTATCACGTCAAACAGGTCGATCAGGGCCTCGATGCCTTCGTCGTCCATAAGCCGCAACTCCCTGGGCCTGAGCGAGTCGAAGGGCGCGCCCGTGGCCTCCTTGAAGCTAGCGATGACCTTCCTGGCCTCCTCGACTGTGGGCCTGGGCGGCCTCTCGCCGAGCTCGTCGGGCCAGTTGACGCGGGCCCCCTGCAAGCTGACGCAGGAGGAGGTGGGGCCCCCCAGGCCCCAGTACCCAGACCATTCCTTCACCAAGGCAGTGGCCGTCTCCTGGAGGGTGGGAGGAGAGCCCTCGGGGAACGCCCCCGCAGGGCGAGGAGCCCAGCCTTGTGGAGGTCTGGTGAGGGCGTGGAGGGCCCCCGTGCCTCTAGTGTGGTGGTCGATCACCCAGTCGTTGTAGCTCGCCTGCCTCGCGTCGGCCTCCTTCTGGACCAGCTTATCGGCAGCCTCGTTGGCGCAGGCAGCGATGCCCTGCAGCGTGCCAATGTCCAGCGACGGCGTGGCCTCCGCCAACGTTGCGAAGATGGTAATCGCATTCAGCTTGTGCTGGTCGGTGGTATGAACCAAGTCGTCGCCCGTCATCTTGCTGAGGGCCCTCAGCGCCCGAAGCCGACGGAGGGGAAAGTCGACCTGCGCACAATCCTTGATCGCTATCGCCACCTTCTTGTGCCAGGAGGCTGCCTTGGAACACTTGGGAATGCGTGGCGGGCTAGGTACCGCAACCTTGGCCATCTTGAGGCGGGGCCCGGCGCCGCGGCCTGCGCAGTCGTCGTGCTCGTGTGCCAAACCCACGGCGTCGATGATGTTCCACTCGGCCTGGTAGACGAACAGCTGCCAGCGCGAAGAGAGCGAGCTCGTGGCCTGCATGGCCTGTCGCGTGGCCTCCCAGTGAGCTGAGTGGTCCCTGCTGCAGCGCGCGACGGGCAGCGGGTAGGGCAGGCACTTGGGGATCTCCATGATCTGCATCTTCCTGGCGAAGGCGCTGCCGTGCACCCTCAGCTGGACGGGGAAGTGCGGCGCCAGGTTCCAGCCGTGCAGCACCTTGGCCTCTGCTACGCCGAAGGTCGTGCTGATGGCCCAGTAGTCGATGATGCGCCCCCCAGGTCGGCAGGTGCCTTTGACAGGGGCGACCACCTTGAGCTTGAGTGCATTGAGGAACCCTGACGCCGCCAGCTCCTGCGGCTCCAGGTTGAAGTCGCCACCAATGATGATGGGCTTGGGAATCTGCTTCGCCGCGCGGTAGACGGCCTGCAGCACCTGGTAGTTGAAGTCGGACATGCCCTCGCTGTCCTTGAGGTAGACGTTGAACCAGGCGACTCCGCCAGGCACGATGCCAGCGAAGTGGGCGACACACGCCCTGCCAGGGAAGAGCACAAACCCGCCCTTCATCTCGACTGCGTCGAGGCCGTGCGCGCGCGGCGCCAGCTGCAGCAGCCCACCGTGGCCGTGAAGGCCTGGGCCCGTGCCCACTGCGGGGCACGCGAGGGCATGCCAGCCCTGCTTCTTGAGCTTGTCGGTCACCTCTGCGCACCGAAAGTCGGAGAGGTGGGTCTCCTGCACCGCAACCAAGTCTGCGTTGCGTACCTGGTTCTCGTCGAGCAGCGCCTCGAACCTGCTGTAGGCATTGGCATTGATGGTGAGCGCTGTCCACCACCGCCTCTGGGTAGAGCTACCCTTCAGCCGTCTTGGAACGCTTGGCAGTGCGGATGGTCTCCATTGCCTCGGCGAGCCGCTTGCGCTCCCCCTCGTCCTGACAAGACCCCAGCAGGCCGCCAGGATCGTCGCCAGCCATGAAAGCCTTGTCGGGCGAAGTCCCTTGCGCTGGTCCGCCCTGAGCAGCGGCCGTTTCACCTCCAGCTGCTGCTCCTCCAGGGGGGACTGGCTCTTGAGCTGCATGAGCCTCGTGCTGGTGCGGCTCGGTCGGCCTGCAGGCGCTGTCGAGCTCGTCGACCGCAGCCTGGGGGGACTTGAGGAAGTCGGCCAACGAGATGCCTTCCGTGGGGGTCTCCCCGAGCTTGGCCTTGAGCTGCTGCGTCGTGAACGCTCCTGCTGCTAGTGCGCATGCACCATACAGCTTCGCCGCGTCTCGCTTCGCAGACTCGAGCTCCTTCTCCAGCTTAACCACCTCGGCCTCTGAGGTTGACACCGCCTCCAGCAGCTTGAGAGCCTTGTCCTTGTTGTTAGCCAAGCGGCCCTTCGCATTCTGGAGGGCCCTGGCGGCTTTGTCGACGGCCTGAGGAACCTCACGACCAGCAGCGCCAAGCAACCCAGCAGCAGCAGCCCGCCTGGCGTTCTCGACCTTCTGCCTGGACGAGTGGGACAGGGCTCCCTTCGACTTCTCGTAGATGTCTGCTGGAAGCTCGGACCACTCTTTGACGTCGCTGGGCGACAGGGTCGCTCCTGCGGCAGGCTGCTGCTGACGCTGTGCCTGCGTTGCGCCTCCCTGCTTGGTCCAGGGTTGCGCCATAGGTTGCGCCATAGGTTGCGCCCTCGGCGGCCGAGAATAAAAAACGTGTCCCATCGGTTGCGCCATAGGTTTCGCCGTTGGCGGCCGAGGATAGAACCGTCGCCTATCGGTTGCGCCATAGGTTGCGCCATCGGCGGCCGAGAATAAAACCATCTCCTATAGGTTGCGCCATAGCTTGTGCCCTCGGCGGCCGAGAATAAAAGCCGTCGCGTAATGGGTGCGACCAGTGTGTTCAGCTCAATTAAAGTTCAGTTCAGTTCAACTCAATTCAGTTCAGTCAGTTTACCTCGCGAGAAACAAATTCGGGCTACGCCCGAAATGAGATCGATCATGAGATCGATACTGAGATCGGCAGAACGACCTGTAATACGATCGATGGTACTATTAATCATGAAATCGCTGGTGAGATTGGTAGTGAGATCAATCGTGAGATCGATTACATGAGACATAAGTCCAGAACCCCCGAACCCTCTTATCACCCGAACCATGGTCGTAAAAGTGTGTGCGACATGGCGCGGCTGCAACTGCATCCCAAGTGAGGGCTATCGTTGCCCAGGTTGGGGCTTGCGGCTGCATATCGCGCTATGAGGAAAAAAGACCCGACTGAACCAGCTCCACGGTGCACGTGTCGGGATGTCCGTCCTCAGTCGCAGCAGCGTCCAGACAAGCACGGGGCACGCAGACATGACCGACGGTCCGACACTTAGTTCGGGCCGTGGAGCGAGCGACTCCACACGTAAGGCGTATTAGGAGTCTCGCGAGCCATCCTAACGAGAAAGGAAGAACGGAGGACAGGGACGACGGACGGCGGGATGGATCATCAAGATGGGGAAGGTACAACTAGTTATATAATTTGATACTGCTCTGGGGTGTTATGGAACATCAAATAGATCTATGGCCTGGAGCACCGTGGACGCAGCGGGGCCGCAAGATCATGGGGATGCTCTTTTATCTTACAACGGCAATTCCTCATCCGCCCCTCCTCCCCCTGCTCCTGCTCGCGCCGCTACTCCACCTCCTTCCCTCGCGGCCAACCCCGCTTCTCCTCCTAATCATGATCGGGGTGATTTCCATCCTTCCTGCATGCATCGCCCCCCCCCCCCCCCCGCCGCTCTCCTCGGCCTCCCGCTGTGCTTCTCTGAAGGCCGCCTGGATCCTCTTGAGCCATCCTGTTCGCAGAACTCCCAGGGCCATTCGAGCAGAACCGACCAGAACCGATCTGCGAGGGCCCTTCGGGCCTGAAAAACACGGTGACCTCGCTCGGTGTGAAAACATCTCAACGCCAGAACCTCGGGAAAACGCGGGGCATCCTGGGCCAGGATCACACTTCAGCCGAGCATCGTTGCCACTGCAGCTCGTGATTGCATACGATCTGCATGAATTGCTGCAGGTGTGCAGGCATGCATGAACGCAACGTTGCGTGAATGTGCTACGGACCGTAGCCACCGAGGCTCGAATCTAGAAGTCGCAAGACACGTCCTAGAGCAAGGCGGAAAAATTGCGTAATCACAGCTTGAGAGCTCAGTGGTATCATCGCACCCCCCCGGAGGACGACGCGGATCGAATGATTACAAACGGCATAAACGTAAACTTTTGGCGCTCCGCGCGGATGTCTTGGATCCGCGTCGGATCCCCCTCCCGGGCGCGCGGAGCGCGCCAGGGGCGGCGTCGGAGGCGCCGCCAGGGGGGCCCGAGCGCAGATCCAAGAAATCCGCGCGGAGCGCCAAAAGTTATGATTAGGTCGGGCATGTCCTCCTACAGGCGGATTTTAGACGAAAAATAGAAAATAGTCAAACAATAAACAACAAACATTCAAAAAACTACGAAAACAATCGTCCCCAGACTATTTTCCAGTGCTTTTGGATACTCCTCCTGTAGAGGGACAGGCCCGACTTACGTTTATGCTTGTGCAGCTGCTCGTTCGTCGAGAGGGAGGGCGTCCCCGGCGGGCCCTCACTGCAGGGGCACGCAGTACGGGTTCGACGCCGCCTCGCCGAACGACAGGGTGGCCGACACCGGCGGCCCCGCGGGCTCGGGCCGCGCACAATGGTCGGGCGGCTCGGGCTCGGCCGGGTCCTCGAGCGAGGGGGGCAGGAAGGAGCCCGGAGCTCTGCTTCATGCTGTTTCCTCTGTAGGATCCTCCCCGATTCACAAATCCTTCCCGACTCCTGCTGTTTTCCCTGTAGAACCTCTCCCAATTTGCAACCACCCCCCCCCTGTGCCCCACAATCCCCCGATGACGCAACAAATAATGATCGAAACGATTTGTCCGCTAACGTGTTGATTATTGCTGCTGCAGTAGGCATGAAAGAACCCCTGACCCTTTGGGAGGCGACCTGAGTTAGGAGGGCCAGGAAGATCAGGGATAGGGGGTCTTCTTCTGCAGATGTGTCAGGCCGAACCGCCCAGAATGATAATCCCGAATTCGAAGGCGGGAACCAAAGTGAGGCCACGTCTCCATCGGGTTATTAGGGTTAGAGGTTCTTTCGTTCGCGATGATTTCACCCAGAAATGATTCGCTCGTCGTATCCTAAGGCAGATACGTAGAGTGATCGTAGATCTACGGAACATGCCTTACGCACGGCTCGTAGATTGGACAAACAAACAGATCAAGTATGGGGTAAATCGATTATGTGATCGATCTCCTACGACAGAAAAACAATCGGGAAAAACTGTGTCATGTTCGGAATATGGATGCCCTCTCAGGGCCCCAAGACCGTCAAAAACCTACTCGGAATGAAAAGCTGGTCCTGGAGAAAGGGTCTGGATTCACGGGAGTCATGCATTGAAGGAAAACAAACGGGATCGGGACGGCTTCGCGAAACTCTGGCGTCGCCTCGATATGCCACCGCAGCCGCCGCTGGGGGCGCGACATTCTGGGAGCTCTGAATTGCGAGACGCTGGTGGCGCAGGAGGAGGAGGAAGAAGAGATTTGGCCGAAGAGGAGGAGATGTGGCAGATGAGGAGGAGGACGAGGATGAGGGTGAGGATGAGGGCGAGGATTAGGATGAGGATGAGGATGAGGATGAGGATGAGGATGAGGCTGCTGCTACTGCTGCTGCTGATGATGATGCTGTGAGGAGGAGGAGGAGGAGGAGGAGGAGGAGGATGAGGAGGAGGAGGAGGAGGAGTTGGGCCCTCGTTTCGACCTCAACTTCTAGCCCCGTCGTGTCGCTCCCCCGTCGTCGCGCTCGCCGGCCCGCCGCGCACCGCGACAGACGGGCCCCCGCGCACCTTCCTGCTCCGCCTCCGTCGCTGTGCCTCCGTCGCCCCGACGCAGCCCTCGCTCCCCTTTCTTCTCCGCCCTGCTTGCGCCTCCGGAGGCCATTCTGGGGACCTCGAGATCGACCTTCTACCTCCCTCCCTCGCCCTCCCTACTGCAACGCGAGGCCTATGCTTCATCCCTGCAGTCCTTTTTCTCCCCTTACCTCCCTTCCTCCGAGCCCTTGTCGTGGTAATGGTCGTCGTGGTCGTGGTCGTGGTCGTGGTCGTGGTCGCGGTTGTCGTCGTCGTGGTTGTCGTTGTCGTTGTCGTCGTCGTCGTCGTCGGCGTCGTCGTCGTCGTCGTCTTGGATGTCGTCGCCGGGGATGTCGTCGTCGTGGTTGTCGTCGTCGTGGATGTCGTCGTGGTTGTCGTCGTGGATGTCGTCATTGTTGTCGTCGTCGTGGTTGTCGTCATTGTTGTCGTCGTCGTCGTCGTCGTCGTCGTCGTCGTCGTCGTCGTCGTCGTCGTCGTCGTCATCGTCATCGTCATCATTGTGGCTGTCCTCCCCCCACCGCTGGCGTGCTCGGCATCCGCAGGGAAGGGGGAGCCCAGATTCCGTCCCTCGCAGATTGACAGGGCACCCTGTAGCAAAACACCCTTTCAGTGACAACTGCCAGGTACACTCCACTTGCGCACGGCACCGCCTTCGGAGAGGACCCCAGCGGAGTAGCGAATCGACGTCCCAAAACAGCCGAAGGTGTCCAGCGAAACACTTGTCGACTAGCGCAACCGACCAGGAACTGCACCGTTGCACTAGAATGACAATGTTGAGTGAACCCGTGCAGAGTTCCTCTGTCGACCTGTCTGGGTGGCGATCTCTCCATGCCCGATCCGTGGCTGCTTTCGGGTCAGCACAAACCTGGGTCAGCCGGGCTTTGCAAGATCCTGCAGCACCTGCAGGATCCTGCGCGAGGACCCGGGTCAATGCAACTCCTCGCTCTGCAGGATCCCGCAAGATCCGGCACTCTGGCGGACCCCGTTTGCCTCGACCCCCGCCTCTACCCGCCCGACGCTTCGCAATTCGCGCCACTCCTGATGGACCAATCTTCCACCGCCACTACCATGCGGAGGATGGGGAGGTCCTCCTCCTCCTGCTCCTGCTCCTGCTCCTGATCCTCCTCCTGCTTCTCCCCCTCCTCCTCCTCCTCCTCCTCCTCCTCCTCGATCCTCCTTTGCCTCCTCCTCCTCCTCCTCCTCCTCCTCCTCCTCCTCCTCCTCCTCCTCGATCCTCCTCCTCCTTCCTCCTCCCTCCTCCTCCTCCTCTTCCTCCTCCTCCTCCTCCTCCTCCTCCTCCTCTCCTCCTCCTCCTCCTCCTCCTCCTCCTCCTCCTCCTCCTCCTCCTCCCTCCTCCTCCTCCTCCTCCCTCTCCTGCCTATGGTAGTGGTTGTGGACACTCCGTCCATCAACTCCAGCTCGGGGCCCCGGGGCGCTCGGAGGCACAGCCTCCCGCGCGCGGGCTCCCGCGGGCCAGCGTGGGCAGGCCGCGCGGCACGCCCCTCGCGCGCAGTGCGCGCGCCTGGGCGCGAGGGGCTGCAGGCTGCCCGGCCCCGAGCGGGCCGCCGCCCGCTCGCTCGGGCACCGGACGCCCCTCCCCGCGCGCCGCCCTGGGGATCGTGCTGCTGATCGCGGGTGGGCGCCCAGCGAGCGTGCTCGTGCTGCTGCTCACGGTCCCGCGGCCTGGCCCCACGGCCGTGGCCTGGGCCCCACTGGCCGGTTGAACCCCCGAGCTGGGCATGCAGGCCGCTTCCTGCGGGTTTCGAGGGGCATCTCCCCAACTGGCGTGGTGGGATGGTGCCCTTCCTCCCGGGCGCCGCGTGCTGAGAGGCCCAGCTGGACGACCGCGCGGCGGTCGGCACGTGGCGGCCGCCGTGCTGGCCGCCGCCGTGCTGGCCAGGCGCCCGCCGTGCTGGGCGCCTGGGCGGCCGCCGTGCTGGCCAGGCGCGGCCGAGCAGAGGGGGCCCAGCGGAGGGCCGCGGACGGGCAGGCGCTGCCGTCGTGCCCGGGCTGCTGCGAAGGCTGCCCGCGGCGTCTGGGCTCCGAGCGGCGCGCTCGGGACTGTCGCTCGTGGGCGCTCTGCGGGGATCTGCTCCGGGGGAGCAGGTGGCAAAAACATAACAACTTGGGGGTCCGCGCGGATTCCTCGGATCGGCGCTGGGGCCCCCCCCCCGGTAAGATTTCTCGGATCGCGCGTCGCCCCTGGGGAGGCGACGCACACGTACTATTTGGGGGAACCAGGCTCCCTGGACCTCTCCCAGGGCGCGCTCTGACCAGGACCTCGAGGCGAATCCAGCGGTGGCGACGAAGGCCTCCCAGGAGGCCCAAAAAGGGGAAAACAGGAGAGGGGGTAGAGGTGGGCACCTTTTCCTCCTTCGAGTATTCGTATGTTGGGGTGATGCCGATGCTACTTTCATGCCGTAACTTGTTCCCCAGTGCGTGGGCGCTGCGGGGAGCCGCTCCGCGGCAGTCTCTGCCGAGCCCCCCCGCGCACGGAGAGCGGCGCTGTGTCTCCGCAGCTCGGGAAGCGAGCGCGGCTCTTCGCGGGCAGCGCTCGGGGCGGGGGCCGCCGTGCTGGGCGTGCCAGGTAGGGGGCGCGCGACAGGCATCCGCGAAGCACAGTCAACCCGCATACAGTAGAGGCCAGGTCCACCTCCTCCTCCTCCCTCCTCCTCCTCCTCCTCCTCCTCCTCCTCCTCCTCCTCCTCCTCCTCCTCCTCCTCCTCCTCCTCCTCTTCGTAGTTCGGAGGAGGTGTCCGGAGGTCCCCCGAGGTCCCCAGCGATCCCCCAAAGGTCCCCGGCGATCCCCCCAAGGCTCAAGGAGGGGCAGAGCCCCAGACTTCAGTGCGCTGCCCTCGATATCCCGACGTCCCCGGGGTACAATAGAATCTCGATCACAAGAAACCTTCCGCAAGAAACCTATCCGTGCGAGCCCAGGACGTCCATGGATTTTGGGCGTGGGAGCGTCACGCTCTCCATCGCAAAAGCGTCGAAGCCGAAGAAACCCAGGACACCCTGGAGGCGAGCAGGGTGTTTCTTGCCATGGGCCTCCGCTGTAATGAGGATGCGCGGTGAGGATGCAAGGGCCATGGCGGGCCATGCTACTGTTTCTCGAACGAGGCTGGCTAGCGAAAGTTTCCAGGGATGGGCCGAAGGGGCACAGATGCAAGGGTAGCCTTGGAAAGGTTGCCCATCCTCACTATGCGGGTTGAGTGTACATGGGCGCCCGCGACTCAAGCGACATACATTTCAGGTCGGGCCTGTCCCCCTACAGGGGGATTTCGGACGAAACAAATTAAATAGTAAAAACATACTCCCGCATGATCAAAAATTGTAGAAAATCGTCCCCTGACTATTCTTTGACCATTTTTGAATTTTCCTCCTGTAGAGGGACAAGCCAGACTCAAACCTACATGTTTCCTGTAGGGCACGGCGATCCGTGCCTGCAGAGCGAGCTCATATCTCCTTCAAGGCGTGTGCGCGCGGATGTCCGTCGGCACGTGTCTTCAATGCGTGTCGTTGGGAGCCTCTAGGCGTGGGGGCGTCCTCCTCCTGTTGCTGAAAACCGACGGGCTGGGCTTCCCAGCCGTATGCGGCCAGCGCGGCGGCACGTGCGTGCAGGAGGCTGTCCTGTCAAGTGGGATGATCCACGTGGCCATCGGAGGCCGCAACACGAGCTCGAGGCTGATGGCGCAGGGAGGAAGCTGGAGTGGCCCGGTGACGGGCGAGACGTACTGGTGGACCTGTGCGGCTTGCTAGCACACTTTTAGCGTCGGCGGCTAGTCAGAGGGTGACTGCGCTGGCGATAAAGGCATGAACGGGGGTACCGTCGGGCAGAATTGTGCCACCATGCAGGAGGACGAGAGAGGAGGGACGCGGCCGAAGGAGAACAAGGACGGATCGGGCAGCTCAGGGGTCAGCACGCTCCCCGAGTGTGTGGCGCGGCCGGCCCAGCCGCTCGGCATGCGGCGGCTGCTGGAAGTGCCGCACCGCAGCCGTCGCGCAACCTGAGCAATCACGCTGCCAGCCCTCAGCGAAGCCTCCGAGCTCGCGGGCGCGCAGCGCCCCAGCAGCAACAAGAGGACTCCAAGCGGGACGACCATTGGGAGGCAACTTCTGGGAGGTCGTCGCGAGAAAGATTGAGGGCTACCCGATTCAGGGGCCATTCAGCTGGATGAGGCCAGATTAATAAGCCAGGCTGGGGCCGGATGAAGAGGGGTTCGGCCAGACGAGGCGGTTCCCGACAATGGATCTACCAGCGCCGACTCTGAATTCAGCCTCCCAAGAGTTGCATCCTGACGACCCGACTTGGAACCCACAGTTAACCATCATGCGCACGTTCTCAAGAAGCCAACTCGCGGACGCTGGCCTCTAGCGTCCTCCTCTCCAGCGCCCGCCCACCTCTATCCTCGGCCTCGGCGCCGGGAGGAGAGAAACCAAACACGGGGGCCAAACCGCGCACCAGGCCCTCGGCTTGCTCGTGGCCGTCGACACTGGTGCCGTGCTGCTGCTGGCGGTCACGGTGACCTGCCGCCCATGCGCGAGCAGGTGGGGCAAGACGTAAGCGGCAGGTGCACCGCACGACGCTGGAGGGTGCCACTCCTCTGCTTCCGCTCTCTCTCTTTCTCTCTCCATCTCTCTCTCTCGCATCAGTCCCTCCCCATCCTCGATCTCAGCTGGCGCAGAGCTGCCATTTGGGCCTAAGAGATAGTCAAGGTAGCTCAGATCGCCAGACCGCCATTACACAGAATGCGTTGACAGAAGAGAGGGCGAAGGCCCGGATGGCGGCGACGGCATGGATATCTTCTCTCGCCCTGCTTCTCTCCAATCGGGCGACGGCGCGATCGGACCGAATGGAAGAGATCTACACCGAAGCCGAGAACTCAGAATTATGTAACAACTCACCGACCTCCACCACCACCCCCTGAACCGAAAAGTAAGGGTACGGGTAAAGGGGACCGTCGCAAGGGCGAGATGAGGCAGGCGAGAGGGCATTCGTAAAGCGGGTGCTACCCTGCCCGCGGACCCCCTGCGTGGGGAGAGTCGGTGCAGGTAGGGCCTGCGCGCACACGTGGCGCCTGCGTCACCCTCAGTAAAATGACGCCCGCTAGGCCGAGCTAGAAGCATTGTTTTGGTCAGGTAGCTCGCTTCAGAGAAGGCTTCACACAAGGCATCAGCCCCAGAGCTCGATCGATCGATCAGCTGGCGCAGTCGGCGATCACCAGGGGAGCACAATGACTCCTCCTCCCTCATCCATCCTGTCCCTCCTCCTCCTCCCTCGTCCTCCCTCCTCCCTCTCCTCACTCTTCCTCCTCCCTCGCCTTGCCCTCCTCCCTTAGCCCTCTCCACCCTTTTCCTCCCCCGCCCTCCTTTCCGATGAGGAGCCGAAGACCGTTGACATCCGATGGCCTCCCCCCTCCTCCTACTGAGATCGCCGCTGGGGGTCTTGAGTGGTTTTCGGGGGGCTATAAGCGGAAGCCAGAATGGTCATATCTGGCCAGGCTTACTTGTGAGTTGAAAGAGCCCAAATCGGCCAAGGATGGTAAACGACCCAGGCTGACTGGGCTCCTCCCCCTTGGCGGAGATGCCGGACCTCCCCGAAGTCACTCGGGGAGCGTGAGACCAACCCATAAGCCAAAGCGGGCAAGGCAGAACTGCTTTGCCATCCTATGGCACACCCGGGATCCCCCCTGCGGGGGAGCAGACAGCGGCATAGACGGCAAAACGTCGGAGGTCCGCGCGGACTTCTCGGAGCGGCGCCGGACCCCGCTCCCCGAGCGTGCGGAGGCGGCGCCGGAGGCGGCGCTGGAGGCGCCGCCACGGGGCCCCAGCGCCGATCCGGGGACTCCGTGCGGACCCCCAAGCTGTCGTGTGTCCATAGGTCGCTGCTCGTCCCCCGACCAGAGGCACCCCACGTGACGATCCCAGTAGGGTCAGCAAGCCCCCCACCCATGCGGCACCGTGTCGGCGCGGAGAGGGTCCTTGGGGCCCTCTCCGCGCGGGACCAACGCGGGCCAACACTCGCCTGGGTCCCCAACGTCTGGGTCGACCGTGGCGTCCTGGCGACCGGGGGAAGGGGGGAGGAGAGGAGGGATTTTTTGATTACGAGGCTGATTACAGTGTGAGCCTGTCAGCAGAGGCCGGCACGCAACTCGCATAATATGAATGAGGCTAAGAAGAGAAAAAGGAGGAGGAGGAGGAGGAACCTGCTGATGAGCAGCAGAAAGGAGGAGGGCGAGTGTTTTCTGCACGCGATGCGTGGAACGTTGGACGTGGTTTATCATGCCTCCCTCTTGCTGCTATCCGCTGCCTCATCGCAACATGTCGTGAAATAAAACCGTTGTCGCGAAAACCATCCTGAGGGCGCTGCAGCCACACAGCTCGTTGGGCAGGCTTTTGGGTTGCAACAGCCGCTGACGCTCCAATTCGCTTAAAATGTGGAGCGCGCAGCAAGGTGCAACACGCTTAGACTGGAGATGAAGTCCGCGGAGCATCCGGTTGAGACAGCACTTGCTGGCTGGCACAAGAAACAACAGATCCTCGGCACTGTTTTTCCCGCTGGCGGCTGAAGCGCTCAGTACTGTAGGCGCCAGACAGCCTGCAAAACACAACATTTGGACCTGACGAGAGACGTGTGAAGACCAAATCATGTCCAAGCGTCGGGTGAGCGATGGACCAGAACATATGTTTGTCCCCCGAAGCACCCCGACATATCCAGAGCAGCTGCATTCGCACCCGTATCACGTGCATGATAATTGCGACAGCTGAAAGAACCAAAGGGCGCCAAGGACCGCCGTCCAAGCATGCAATCAGTGCGCCCCCGTACTCCTCAAACGTAAAACCCCCATCTCCCTTTCCAATCCGTGCATTGAGATCGTCCCAGGGCTCCTGAAGTTCCTGCGCGTGCAAAAACAGAAGGGGTTGTTTCGCGAATCCATCCGCGAAGAACTTGGCTCTCGCTACCCTCCGCTCATCGGAAGGAATCTGATCAATTGCTTTTTGACAAAATGTGCTGAGCAGCTGGAGCGTCGCAGCACCAGACGGGGCCCAAACA